GATCAGGGTGGGCACAGCTCTCCAGCGCAAAGCTGGTACAACGTAGCACTGTGAAACCGCTGCCCCCTTGAAACAGCACCTCTTGAAGATCAAAAGTGCCTGTTACAAACCCGTTCTGGATGGGAGAGAACAGGCCACCAGCTCACCAGGTGCCCCTCATCTCTGGGAAGCCCACCCAGCTGCCACAGGGGCCCAGCCTGGTCCTGCCCCTTTCTCTCTCCTAGAGCCAGTCAGCATTGGCCATTGAGGGCCAACCCATGGTAAGTGCTGGGACAGAGCCGGGAATGAGCGGGACAGGTCCCTGCTGCGGGGGAGGTGACCACTTTGTGGGTAGGGCATACTCCACGGTCACAGGCTTGGAGAAGGTGGGAGAGTGAAGGAAGTACTTGGGGAGACTTAGGGGGCAAGGACTCTGGGTGAGGTGAGAGGTTTGAGGTCCTATCCCTGCACCCTCCACCCCTGCCCTGCCCCAGTGCACACCTGCCAGGAGATTAGGGGGTCCAGCTTGAAAGAGGCAAGGCTGGCCAGGCCGAGGCTGAGACAGAGCCAGGGCTGGCCCAAGAGTGAGGCCACATAGAGGCCCACACAATGGCCAAGCAGCAGCAGCAGGTACCAAGGGCCCATGGTGCCCATCACGGCCAGGGCCCCGTACACAGCATACATCCAGGAGCGGAGCTGTGGACAGGGAGAAGGCTGCATTTACCTTTCCATACAAATGCAAGTGGACCCCAGGATGGATTCCCCAAAATCTCTGTAGCAAGGAGGAGCTGGCAGGGGGAGGCGGGGTGACTCAAGTCTAGCTCACCTGGGGGGCAACCATCGTGCAGAGTTTAGCAAACAGCACATGTCCGGAGAGGGCGAAGACGATGACATTGCGGAAGGAGGTGAACCACATCACCCACTCGAAGTCAGCCACGTCCTGGGGCAGGCCCAGGCAGGTTAAGGTGGGCAGGGGCTAGGATGGGCTGGCACTTGGGCTGGTCAGAATCCCAGCACCTTCCCCGCCCCCATATTCTTCTTATGCATTGGAGGAGAGAAGTGGCTGGAGGTCCCTGGCTTCCTCTCTGAGGGAAGTACCAGGTAGGTCGGTAGAGAGGATGAGGGACATCATGTGGGCTGCCCTGTTCTCAGAGCTCCGCCTCTGCTCAGCACATTGCCTGACATTCCACCATTTTTGCATTATTCCTGGGAGGGATGGTGCTGGAAGCCCCTGCTGAAGCACGTTTTCATTTATTTCCTAAATGAGCAGGGTCTGGGACAGGCTTGATGTGGCCCCAGGAAGCTACAGGAAGGGCCACTAGAGAAACTGAAGGAGCTGAACCTAAAGCCAAAAACCCTCCCCACTGTGAGCCCTTTGTTATGGGGGAACATCTGGAATAGGGGAGAGTAGGGAAGGGTTTGGGATAGGAGAGCTGTGCTAGGGGTCATGGACCCCAGTCAGGGACCTGGGGTGTGGGGGACCTACCATCTTCCGGCCAATGTACTCCCAGCCGGGTCGCACAGACTCCCGGAACGCCTTCCTGTGGGCCCCATCTGAGAACAGAGTGTGGCCTCAGGGTAGGGGGAGCCCTTCACATCACCCCCCTACATCTTCCCCTACAGCAAGGCTGACCCCCACCCTGCGGGGAGGAGACTCAGTCTGTGTCTCTCTCTCTACCTCTGCTTCTCACTGTGTTCTTGGGCCAGGTCCTTGACTGTATCCCTGAGTGCTGAGTGTGGCTCTCTGTCGCTCTGTGTCCAGGTCCCTGTCAGTGCCTCTGCATCTATGTCTCCCTGTTTCTGCATCTGGCTCAGCCCACCCCCCAGGGCCTAGGGAATACCCTGGGTCTGGAGCCGCTAAATTTCTGGCCTTGCTGGTTTGAACCCTGTGGTCCACAGGGGAAGATGGGTCCCAATTCTACTGCCCCAGGGCCCAGCTGTTACCTTGTGAAGCCTCGAGGAGGCCCCGGCCAGCATAGGCCAGGGCCCCACTCAGCACCAGGGAGTATAGGCCCAGCTCCGCTGCAGGTAACGCTGTCTTGATGCCCATAGCCTGGATGGGGCTGGGGGAGACAGATTGGGTGAGGGCACTGCTGCCCCCGAGCCCTGCCTAGTCCCACTTCATGGTCCCCTACTAAGGTGGTGAGGACCCCATTCTGAAGAGAGACTTTCTCTCCTGCCATCATTTCCCCTCCCTCCTGTCCCCTACTCCTCCCAAGCCCCGAACATCTGGTGCTCCATCCTATTTGCTGCTCTAGCTCCTGACTTTGCCACTGAAGGCTCTTGAAAACATAATCTTCACTCAGCCTGCCTTCCTCAACTTCATTTACTCCTCCATGACTTTTGGGGGGACTGGTCCCCACCCTCTGCTCAAACTGCTCCTGCCAATACCTCTGATGAGCTTCATGTGGAGAAACCCTATCTGCATCACCTGAATCACGTTTTTGGCCCTCAGGGTCCCCACCCCCCTCAGTAAGCCTCCCTCAACTCCTGACCAAGCCCCACGCCCTCCATGCCCCCTTCCTTGATTTCCACACCCCTCCTGAGCTGTCTTTACCTCCAGTGACTTCCCTAGGTCCTGCCCCCAGCACCAAGCCTATCCCTTTCATTCAGCCTCTAGTTTCTCACTGGCCCCAACCAGTCTCTGAGCCCCAGCCTGCCACATCCCTGGTCCCTGCCTGTGTCCGTGGCCACACCGGCCCACTCTCTTAGTGCTCTGTGTATTCAGGCCCTGGATGCTGGCCGGAGACTGTGCTATTTGAGGAGGTGCCCTGGGGTAGCGGGTTGGGGCCAGGCAGGGCCCAGTGGGCACCAGGGAAGGTGCTGGATGCTGTCCAAGGTGCTGATCTGTATCAGGCTCAGGGTGAGCCTAGCCACTCCTCCTGCCAGGGCCTAGCTCATTCCCAGAAGTCCTGCTGGGCCATCCATGGGACCTCAGCTAACACCTATGCCCTTCCTGTCCTGCTCCAGCCTGGCCTGGGGCCTTCCCAAGGGCCCCATGGGTGCAGACTCTGGGCCCAAATTGAAGAGAGAAACATGTCCAGGCACCCTCTTGGGCTGGGCTGGGACGAGAAGTGGCTGGCATGGCCCTGTCTCCCACCCTAGATCCCCCTCACCAGCCCTACAACCAGATGTCCCGGTCCTCCACAGTCAGCATTCTCCCCACTGCACAGATGGAGGGATCATGGACCAGAGAGGTTCAGGGACACGTCAAGGTCACACAGTGATCCTGCGACAGGATCAGGTGTTCTCTGTGAGCCCCTCTGAAGTCTCAGATAAGAGAAGAGCGTCCGCTGCCCCTGCCCAAGTCAGGGGGCTGTGGGGCCTGACTAATGCACTGTGGGCCTAAGGGCTGAGGCACCTCCTCATCAGCCGGGTGGGGGTAGGGAGGCCCTGAGGATCGGGTTAATGGAGCAGGAGCATGAAACCGGAGCACAGTGAAGAGCCCGCGAAATAGCTTTGTCAGCTGCCTCCCACTCGCCACTTTCCAATTTTAGCTCCCCATGGCCGGTGCAGGGTGTCCCCAGTGAGGCCTCAGTGAACAGGGCCAGGGCTGGCCCCCCGCCTGGGACCTCTCCTGATAGACCCCCAGACCTGGGCCAGCCTGTGGGCACAGGGGTGCCCCCTGCCCCCTGGTCCTGCTTGCCTCAGGTACACCTGGAGTAAATCTCACTTTAGGGCCTGAGGTCTGGAATGAGAGACCTAGGGTGGGCTCCACAGGTCTCAAGGACCCCAGACTGGCTGCATCCCCAGCTGGCACTGACCTTGAAGAGGCTGTGAGGGACCCTGGCACACTGCCCACCTCAGGGCTCCGAGGTCCTGCGTCCGACCTTGCGTTCGTCCGACGAGCTGGGCTCTGGGGCCACGGTGGGTTGTGTCCAGCCCTGGGGTCCCCACCCCCTCGAGGCTTTGAGTGGTAAGTGGTGACAGCAGGAGGAGGGGGAGGAGGAGGGCAGGGAGGAGGTGGCCTTCCTGGAGTGGAGCTGAGCAAAGTGGAGCAGAGCCGAGCGCTGCAGAGCTGCTGGCCACAGGGAGCTGCAGGGAGGATCGTGGGGGGGTGGGGGGGGGGCGGGGAAGGGGTAGCCTGTGGCATAGACTCAGACAGGGACACCTGGGCCTCACTTCAGCCAGCCTCCCCTGGTCCGTAGAGCCTGTGGCTTCATCTCACTCCTGGCCAGGACTCCCCTCTTCCAGGAAGCCTTCCGGGTAGTCCCCACTGGCCTCTCCAGGCTTGTGAGCCTTGCGTCTGCTGCACAGACGCACACTCATACACACTCACACACATGCACACACTTTCATGCTCGGTTATATGAACTCCAGCCCTCACCTTTACATGTGAACTCCTGAGGGCTGTCCCAGGGCAGACCATCTAGCTCCCTGCCCTGCTTCATTTCATCATGCTGGGAGTCCTGGCTGGCCTATTGGTGCCCGGGGGATGACTAACTTGCCTAGTGGGATTGTAACTTTTATTACACTATATTGTTATAATTGTTCTATTTTATTACTAGTCACTGTTAATCTCTTACTGTGCCTAGTTTACAAATTAAACTTTATCACAGGTATGTATGTATGTATAGGAAAAAACAGTATTTACAGGGTTTGGTACTATCTGTGGTTTCAGGCATCCCCTGGGGGTCTCCCCTGCAGGTAAGGGGGGACGACTGTTTATACTAATAAAAGATACCATAGAGCTTTGCAAACTCAGCATATGATTTTATTTTCTTCCCTATTAAGTCAAGAACTTTCACCTTTTCATTTAAAGGAAGCACTTTACAGCTTCTCTTTGTCATATCCGAATTGCCAGCATCATGACTCTTGTACTTTGGGGTCATTATTAAGCAAAATAAGGGAACACAAGCACTGTGATACCACCACAGTGGATCTGATAACTGAGATGGTTACTAAGTGACTACCGAGCAGGTAGTGTATACGGCATGGATATGCTGGACAAAAGGCTGATTCACATCCTGGGCAGGTGGAGCGGCACGGCGTGAGATTTCATCATGCTACTCAGAATGATGGGCAATTGAAAACTTACGTATTGTTTATTTCTGGAATTTTCCAGTTAGTATTTTCAGACCATGGTTGACTGTGGAAAATCTCAGAAAGCGAAATCATAGATAAGAGGGGACTACTGTAGAATGGTTAACTCTTTAATGTCACCACAATACAGAGGGAAGGTTTTACCATTATCCCCAATTGATAGAAAAGGAAACTGACGCACAGGGAGGTTAAGTAGTTGGGTCAGCCCCATAAGCTGATCGCCCTGCAGGGGCGAGAACTCAGCCCAACCACACCTGGTGCAGGCCGACACGAGCCTGGGCCGGCCATCCAGTTGGCGCCCTCCTGAAGAGAATGGCCCAGGGAAGCTGAAGGGGTGCTTTGGTTCCATGGTTAAGAGCACAGGTTCAGCCAACTGACTTGAGCCTGAGCTCTGCCTCGCTGGTGTGATTCACTTCTCTGAGCCTCAGACCCTCATTTCTAAATGGGCACACTGCCAGCCCTGACCTCTTTGGGTTCTTGGGGGGATTCGACGACTCACTCCATGACAAGGACCTTGCTCACTGAATTGCTCATAGAGAGGCTGTTAGAGAGGCAGAGACAACCTCACTCCAGAGGCCCAGAGAGGCAGGACTCACACACAGCAGGAAGAGATGTTCCCTGGGTGACCCCCATGCAGCAGGGGCTGTAGGGAGCTTGCCCCATGGGGATGGTAGGAGGGATGAGGGCTAGGGAGGCCCTTGGACCAAGGGCTGAGCAGCCCAAGGGCAGCTCCACTTTGTGTGCGGGGTGGGGCACCCGGCGTGGCCAGCCCACAAAACGAAGGGCAGGATGCTGACTGGGCTAAGACCAGTACAAGGGCCACTGGGAAAGATGCGTCAGGTAGGGGGGTCAATTCTCTCAAGTCTCAGAGTCCCTTTTCATCTCTCAGGTTTTTTTGGTTGCTCAAAGTAAAAACGTGGGGAAAGTATCCTGTGTGTGTATAATTGTGTTTTGTGTTGGTTGTGTGTGGGGTCTGTGTGTATATGTTTTGTGTTGTATGTTGTTTATGGTATATGTATGCTGCATGCATTACATTTACATGTGTTGTATATATGTGTGTGTGATGTGTGTATTGTGTTTGTGTGCATATGCAAGGACTGCAGGTGTGACAGTGTGTATGGAGAGCAGGTGGGCAGGCAGAGACTTCCTTGTGGGGTGGCTGTGGGCTCACTGGGGAGGAGAGGCTGGTTCTGGCCACCACTTGTGTGGGCCCAGAGGAGGACCCTCGCTGCAGGCCACCCTGCCCTGGGCTCCTGGGGGCATGGGAGGGGCCCAATGGCAATAGATTGTGTTTGGGGCTCAAATCAGCCTGAACCAGGCTGCAGCCATGCCCAGCTCAAGTGTGGTGCCCCAAAGGCTCCCACAGGGACAATGGCCAAGCCACACCCATGGCTCAACCAGGTCTCACCTGTCAGTGCTGAAATCTGAGCGCTCAGGCCTGCAGCACCCGCCTGGGGTGCAGCCAGGGGAGCCTTCCTGTGAGGCCTCTCCACCACCCAGCCTCTCGTCCTTGCCCCTCTGCCCTCCAGGCCCTGTCTCCCCCTCCCAACACCACCACCTTGTGGCTCTGGGCAGGGACCTTGGTGTTCTCTGTGAAAGGCAAGGCCAGATCACCTGCCTGAGGGCTGGGGAGGTCATCCTCAGGGGCCCAGGGACAGGTAGTGCTGTTCAGGAGGGGCCATGGGCACTAACCTGGGCAGCCAGGCTGCCCCACTCCCTGCCTAGCCCACCTGGGCTAGATCCTTCAGGGCCCCAGTCCTTGGCCCCTTTGACAACCTCTCGTTCCCTTAAAAATCCTGCTCCCAGGCTCTCCTGGGCCTCCCCCTTCTACCTTCCCCCTCCCACACCTCAGGGAGATAGGAAGGACAGCCCCTCCCCACCCAGACCTGGGCAATGAGCCTGGGAGCCACAGCAGGGAAGGTGGGAGGCTCTGAGGTGCCACATTCTGTCTCTGCATCCCCCCACCACCCTGTATCCTCCCACCCCATCATGGCCCTCTTTTTCCCATGCCTCTCTGACTGGACCAGCAGCTCCCTGAAAGCAGCAGTGAGTCCGATTCACCTCCGGGCCCCCTCACAGGCCTGAAGAGGCTGTTGTGCAGGCGGCACTCACTGACTGCCAGGGGACAGCTGGCTGAGGGGATGGTGGCCTGTGAGCCTGTCTCCCCAGCTGGCCTGGGGCTTCCTGGAAATCAGGGACTATGTCTGGCTCACCCAGCATCCCTGTGCCTGGGGGAGAGGAGCTGCTCACAAATATTTGTTAAACCAATAGAGGTAATACTAAAGGCTAACATTTATTGAGTACTTACTGTGTGCCAGCCACTGCTCTAGCACTTGGCACTTAACACAGTGACTCCTGAAGAGGGATTCTGATGGGGAATGGAGCAGACCTGGTCTGACTAAGCGGGGCCTGCTGAGGGCAGGTCCCAGCAGCCGGGACAGGGACCCCTGGCACACAGCTCCACAGCAAAGCTCTCAAAGTTGCCCGTAGAATCTGTAAATTGAAACAGTTGTCTTCATACCCATAGTTGGCCTAAGCAAGGACTGAGTGCCCAGACTGACCTCTGCAAGATGCCAGCTAATCAGTTTACCCAAAAGTGTGCAAATAAGATTTCCCATGCCTGACTGTGGTCTTCCTTCCCTCCCGCTCTTATTTAAACCCTGTTTTTATCATAGAATGAAATCAATCTTCCCTTGTACAGAAGTAAACAGCAAGCGAATAATCAGCTAAATGTCTTTGAGTTATTCTTTGACACCTACAACAGCCCTTGAGGGAGGGTTCCATTATTGTCCCCATTTTACAGATGAGGACATGGAGGCTCAGGGAGGTTAAGTAACGTGCTCAAGGTCACACAGTTGGTGAGTGGGAAAGGAGATCTGCCCCGGGCACCCCCCCCGTTCAGACCCCGTGACCTGAGGCCCTTCCCTTTCTCAGACCCAGCCCTGAGCCAGGAAGGGAAGCAAAACCACCCTTAAGTGGTCGGGGTGTGGGTCATGCCACCCTGCACTTCCTGAGGTGTCCCCTGCCGCTTGGTCCATCCCTGAGGAAGGATGGCTGGTCCTGTACCTGTTTCTCCATCCCAGGGACTCTACTGAGGGCTGGAGCCTGCACCCCCACATACTCAGATCACCCCCTGGGGCCCCCAGCGCCTGCAGGAGAAGGTGCTGACTCTGTTTGCCACTCCTGTCACACACTGTCCCCTCCCAGCACAGGCCTCTCACTCTCTCGGGCTCTGCTTGGCCATTTCCCTTCACAAGGGATCAGAGACTCCTTCCTGGGGACCCTCAGGACACCATCAGAATCACTACTTCATCCTGATGGTTGTCGCTACACCTTGCGGGGGGATCTCTAGACCTGTCGCCCCATGCAGGGTTGGGGGCTCCCTGAATGGGGGTCCAGCATGGAGTCCCTCCACAGCCCAATCCCTGAGGAAGGGCTTGAGCAGACAGGGTCCAGAAGGCCCAGGTGGCTTCCTCCGGGGAAGGGGTGTTTTCACAGCATGTGCATTGCATTTGTGAGTCACTGCACAAGGGACACAAGTGACTGGTCTTCATGTGTGGGAATGTGCGTCTACATCCACCCACGTGCACATGTGCGCACATGCCTGTGCGTGTGGAGTCTGCACTGTCTGTGGGTGCATGTGTGTATGTGTATGGTTGCATGCTCCTGAGTCGAGGTATTTGTGTGCAACTGCGTTTTTGTGTGGGACTGTGTATGCACAAGTGTGGGCAGGTGTTTGGGGTCGGGGTGTTTAGCTGAGTGACTCTCCTTGGAGCCACCCCTCCCCCGGGCAGAAGCTGCAATCAAGAGGGGTGACACTGCGACAGTCACAGACGCGCCTGGGGGCTCTCCAGCAGCCCTCTTCCCTCATCCCTGGGCTGCGGTGAGGGAAGTGCACTGTGCTTCGCCTGGACTCACGGCCTCGAAATCACGCTGCCCAAAGCTGCAGCCTACCCCCATCCCTGCCCTCCACCAGCAGCACTCACCAGCTGCCACCTTTTGGAAGCAAAAGGAGGTGCCTCTTGGAGCAGCTAGCTGGGGTCAGAGCTGCCCAGCCGTGAGGTGGGCATGCCGGCCCTGGGTAATCTGCTCAACTGGAGGACCCTGGCTTTTGGCGTCAGACAGGCTAGGGTTAAATATTAGCCCCGCATCTTTCTGGGAGCCTCAGTTTCTCCATCTGTAAGATAGGGTGACAATCCCCCGGCTTGCTAGAGGACTAGATGGGGTCAGCTTTCCACAGCAGATGCTCACTCACTGGGAGCTGTGGTGATTATGAAAATAATCATTATTATTACAAGTCTGAGGGTCTGTATGTAAGGAAGGGCCTAGAGGAGTGGGCCAACAAGGTGTCTGGGAATGAGGTGCCTCCAAGTCTGCGGAGGGTGGGGATGGCCACAGACGGAGCCAGGGAGTGGGGAGGGGATGTGGGGATGCTCTGCTGAGGTAGGTGGGGTGGGGTGGCCTGGGGCATGCTCCCAGCCTGGAACACGGAGGGCTCTCCTGTGCACGTGGAGCCATGTGGGCATGCAGCAGCCCCCAGCTAGTCCCCAGGACAAGGGTGATGAGCACCTGCTCAAGGGACTGCATCTGTCCGTTCACAGCTGGCTTTCTGTCCTAGAGCTCTCGCTGAAGCCGACTGGGCTGCTGGGCCCTCCCCTGCCATCGCCAGGCCTGCCCAGGCTCTCCTCTAGGGCTCCAGCAGGGCTTCTCCTTTGCCCTGCTGGCCTGAGATGCTGGCTTTGGTCACCTTTGGAGATCCTCTTCTGGGAGAAGGGGCTGAGCTGGTGGCTGGAGTCCTCAGACAGAGCCTCATCCTCTCAAGGCCTGAGGCGGTCCTGTCTGGTCTGGCCAGGCTGACACTGGGCCGCCATCCTAGCGCTTGTCTGCCTTCTGCTGCCGCAGGGCCTGCAGGAAGACCCCTTTCACCTGGCCCAGGGTCTCATGGTACATACGGAAGTCCTCCTCTTTTCCCCGCAGGGCACTGCCCAGGGCAGCCTTCAGCATTTCATTCTCCTCTACTTGGATGGCCAGCCTGGACCACAAGGAGAGAGGGTTCAGTGCAGCCCAAGCTGGCACGTGTGTGTGTGTGTGTGTGTGTGTGTGTGTGTGTATGCATGTGTGTACATGTGTACAAAGGGCCCTGGAAATGGGGCTGCCAGCATGGCTGCTCTTCAGGCTCAGGGTTCTGTCTGACCTGTTCCCTCCTCCCACAGATCCTTGGGGGAATACTGTGTGGTATTCCTCTCTGGGCCCACCCACACCCCTGGGTCTGGCACCCAGTAGCTCCCCCAAATGCTGGCTGCCCCAAGGATGAGTACTAATTTGTAGAAGTTCCCCTTCCATCCTTTCCCATCACCACATTTGACCTTGAAAGGCTTAACTGAGTGAGAAAAGTGGATTCAGCAACCCATGCTTAATAAAACTTCTCTGGGACTTTGGGGTCATCAGGGTCATCATGGCTGGGTCTCTCTGCCCTCTGATGGACAGTCCCTGAATTGCAGGCCTAGAACCCAGCACCCAGCAGGACCAGCCTTCTGGGCAAACAGAAGTCAAAAGGGGAGGGATATGATCCTTCTGCTCATCGAGGCAACTCCACCCAGACAAGGCCACCCTTTCAGGAAGATGGAGCAGGGGAGCACCTGGTGGTAAGCTCCTCCAGCTGGGACTCCATGGGCACACTGGAGAGCTGGGCGAAGGCTGGGTCCTTCCTCTCGCTCCTGTTCGGGTTGTGCCTGGTGTTAGAGGCAGGCAGACCTGTGGGGCAGTAGCAGCCGCTTTCTATGATGAGGCCACGGCCCTGTGTTACTCTCCTTCTCCTCCCCCGACTGCCCCCTTCCTGCTTTCCCACTTGTTGAAACATTATACCTTCTTCAAGGTGCAGGACAAGGGCTGGCGCCCTCCAGAAGCCCTCCCCAATTCCTGCTGTGCATCCCCCCAGACCCTGGCTTGGCCTCTGATACAGCCCTAACTGCTTGCTTTGTACCAAGGTGGTTCCTTTCATTACTGTCTCCATCTTTGCACTTTACAAGTTTCTGGAAGGCAGCTGGGCCTGAGGTCTAGCCTGCAAATTGAGCCCTGATTTAGGCTGTTGCTGCATCTGATGCCTTCACACCACTGGGTGCCCCCCTCCAGTCTCCATCCTGGCCAGCAGCTCCATACATACATACTGGGGATCCAGGGGGGCTAGGTCAGGGGTCACATAATGCTCAGAAAAATAAATCAAAGCCCAACTGGTAGGAGCCTTGGGCAGGATCACAGCATTAGAAAACCTCTGTGCTGACACCTCAGAGGAGGTGTAGGTCTCAGAGGTGCTGCGGCCCAGGGGAAAGCATCTGCCATCAACAGAGCTGGCTTTCACCCCCTGCTGTGTGGCCTCAGGCAAACCATCAACCTCTGTGAGCTGGTTTCCTCACCTGTAAAATGAGGATAATAGTTCTTGCCTCTAGAGCTCTCTGAAGCCTGAGTAAGTTCACATTGGGCCCTCAAGACCTTGTGTGATTGGATCACCTCCTCAGCACCCGGTGACTTCTCTGGCCTCATCTTGTATTCCCCCTGCTCACCATGCCCCAACCTCACTGCCTCCTTGCTGTTCCTCCAAGCCTTTAGCCAAGCTCCCACCGCGGTGCCTCTGCACTTGCTCTTCCCTCAGGTATCTGTGTGCCACATCCCCTCACCCTTCCACCATCTCTGCTCAGATGTCAACTGGTCAGTGAAGTCAACTCATCATTGAGGTCTTCACTGGCCGTCCTGGAGAAAACACCTGCTCTCTCACCTCCTGTCCATTTCCTCTGCTTCAAGCCACAGCACCTGCCTCCATCTAACCCAGCACGTCTTCTAAGGGTTTATTTGTTTATGGTCCATCTTCCCTACTGGAGTGGAACTGCCATAAAGGGCCAAATTCCAGAATCAGATCCCCTCATTTTGCAAATTGGGAGTTGTGGTATGCTCCCCAGAGGGGCAGGGCTCTGCCCATGTCACAGGCCAGCAGGTGGCAGAGGCCACATGGACACTTTCTCTCAGGCAGTTGCCTCTCACTGTCCAGGCAAAACCCAAGTGGATTTTCCTTAGCCCTCCCTGGTTGGGAGCCTGGCCACCTGCAGGAGGTGAGCCCAAGGCCTGGGGACACCACATTCCTAGGGGACCTACTCCTGAGGGCCCAGGAAGGTCAGCAGGGCTAAGCCCCAGGGTGCTTCCTCAGCCTCAACTCCCAGAAGCTCCTGGGCCTTGAATCTTGGGCCCTGCTGTTGGGAGAAGGGACAGGGGCACAACTCCCCCTTTGTACTCCATCTGGCATGTCCTTCTGAAATATCTGATCTCATCTGGGCCAGGAACAAAGGTCTGAGTGTCCTTGGCTGGGGGAGGGAGGGGGAGTACTGGGGTGTTGAGAGGCAGGACAGTGGGGGCAGCATCTCCACTCCAGAGCCTGGAGGGGGTTGGGATGGGGACATCAGAGGGAGGCAGGCCCTAGCCCCTTGACACTGAAGAGTCTTCCTCCCTGGGAGTCAGCTACCCCAAATATGGCTTCTGGCTCTGGATCCTGCACCCCTATTTGCCCAAGCCCCACAAGATGCTGATGCTGCTGGTCTGGAGACTACACCTTGAGAATCAGTTAGAGCAACAGATGTTTTAGTTTACGGCAACTAAACCTCCCTCTGCAGCTGGGTGTGGTCATGTGACTAGAACTGGCCAATGGGATGAAAGCAGAAAAGACAGAGCAACCTTAGGGTCATGCCCTAAAGGGCAAGGAGCAAGCTGTCTCCTTCCCTTCTCCCCTCCCTGCTGCTGGTGGGAAGCTGCGGCAGCCAACTTAGACCATGAGATGGAAGCTGTGTGTTAGGGACAATGGAACACAAGACAGGAGCCTGGGTCCCCACACCTGTGGAAAGGCCACCTCATCCCTGCTTATGCTTGACTGAAGAAGGAGGCAGAAAGCGATTCCTCTCCTGGCGAGCCACCACTGCTCTGGCCTCCCTAGCAGAGCAACATTTCCCCTTTGAACAAAGTCAGCTCAGGACAGAGGGTGGAGGGCTGGGGTGGGGCAGCAGTGGAGGTGGTGTCTGAGGGCATTGAGCACAGGCACTGCCACCTTACACTAAGGGCTTGCAGGTGGGCTGGGCCAGGGCCACATGGGCCAATAGTGCTGTGGGGCCCCTAGTTCCGATAGGAAGCCAGGGGGAGAGGACACGCAGCAGCAGGGGCAGGCAGAGCTCCGCCCTGATGGAGACCTCTGCTTGCCACATTCTCCTTGATAGGGCTGAACAGTGGGGCCAACTGGATCCTCCCTTAGCAGCAAGCCACCCCCCTGCCACTGGGACCCCTGGTCTAGCCCCTACCTGTTTTGCTCCTGGGGGCTGTTTTCTGAGAGGCTGACGTCCTCTCAGGCTCCAGGCGCATCTTCTCCAGATGCTGCTCCAGCACCACGGTGCGTTGCCGCTCCTCCTGCAGCTTCCTCTCTGACTCCAGGAGCTTGCTGTTGCTCTCCTCCACCCTGGTGATTAGAGAGGAGGGGTTGCCATACTCTCTGGCAGGCCAGGGCAGTCCCCGCCCCACCTGCTCAGGCTCTCAGAGAGGTGGCACATCTTACACTGGTGGTGGTGGGACTCGTTTATTTTTATTGCAGTAACATAGGAACATGCATTAAAGAGTCATATAGTTCTCGGGGCTGGCCCCGTGGCCGAGTGGTTAAGTTCGCGCGCTCCGCTGCAGGCGGCCCAGTGTTTCGTTAGTTTGAATCCTGGGCGCGGACATGGCACTGCTCATCAGACCACGCTGAGGCAGCGTCCCACATGCCACAACTAGAAGAACCCACAACGAAGAATACACAACTATGTACCGGGGGGCTTTGGGGAGAAAAAGGAAAAAATAAAATCTTTAAAAAAAAAAAAAAGAGTCATATAGTTCTCTCCAAGGTTTAAAATGAAAAAATCAGCAGCCCCTCCTCATTCCCAATTCCTACTCTTGAAAAGCAACACTTATAACACTTTGAGCTGTTTCTTTGACTATTTATTTACTGCCATATTTCTACAAATGCTTATGCTGCTATTTTTTTAAGGTTTAAATATAATTTTGGACTTCATGTCATAAAATATGAGAATTTAGTTTTATTTTAGTATTCTCCCCTTACCAACAGAATCATCTCTCTACCTCCCAACATAGTTCTATTACCATTTTTTGGCTGGATTAATATTAGGTGGTATATTAGATTTCCACTGCTGCTGTAACAAATTACTACAAACTTAGCAGCTTAAAATAACACAAATTTATTATCTCACAGTTCTGTGAATTAGAAGTTCCACAGGCCCCGTTGGATTCTGTGCTCCAGGTTCCGCAAGTCATAATCAAGGCGATGGCTGACCTGGGCTCTTACCTGCAGGCTCTGGGGGAGACTCCGATTCCAGGCTCATTCAGGTTGTTGGGAGAATTCAATTTCAATTGAAGGACTGAGGTCCCTGTTTCTTGCTGGCTGTTGGCTGGGTAGTTTTTATCTTTTAGAGGCCACTTGGCCCCCTCCATCTTCAGTCAGCCAGAGACACTTATCATGCTTTGAATCTCTCAGCCTTCCTCTGCGGCCTCTCTCTGACTGACCCCAGCTGCTGAAATTTCTCTGCTTTTAAGGGCTCAAGTGATTAGACTGGCCCACCTGGTAATCCAGGATAATCTTCCTATTTTAGGGTCCATAACGATAATTACATCTACAAAGTCCCATTTGCCATATAACATAAAGTATTCGCAGGTACAATAGCAGTGAGCGAAGGGAATGGGGGACAATCCTGTCTACCACAGGGGGTTACATTAGAAATGCAATGATTACATTTTCATTCTTCATTGTTTGCTTTTCTTGGAGTTAGTGATTGCTTTCTGGTTATTATTATTTATTACTATTATTTTCTATATGCCTGTCATGAACTCATGGGCCTTGAAGATCTTGTGATTTGGTTCTTTCACTTGAAGGATGTGTTTAATCTCTCTGGAGCTGGGCTAAGGTCCTTCCTGTCGCTAGGTATGGCATTCCAGACCTTTGTGATACCAAGGGCTCAAGTAAAGGCCAGGACTCCCTGAGATGTAACCCAAGCAGAGGGTTATATACACACATGCAAATCAGAGTGGCAACCTGGAAATTTACAGTGTTGGAGGAAGTGGTCTCTCCACCTCGGGGAAGAGTCAAGAAGGAACAGAAGGGTGCCAATTTTGAACAGTACACAACTAACACAAAGCTGTATACAGCTACAATACAACTTGTTCAAGCATGTTCCTTGAAACTTTATTTGCAAAAGCAAAAAACTAAAACAATGTAAATTTCCATCAGCAAGGGAAAGACAAAATAAGTGGTAACATATTCATACCATGGAATATGACAGAATGTGATACAGTTGTGCTGTTCAACACAGTGGCCGCCAGCCTCATGTCCACACATAGCTATTTAAATTAAAATTAACAAAAATTAAATAAAATAAAAAATTCAGTTCCTCAGTCATACCAGCCACATTTCCAGTGCTTGAAAGCCACATGTGGCTAATGGCTGCTGCACTGGAAGTGCAGATACAGAACATCTCCATCATCACAGTTCTACTGGACAGCACTGCTCTACAGTGAAAAAGAACGAGGTAGAGCTACGTGTACAAATATGGATGGATCTCTAAGTCATGGGACTGGTGAAAAACAGCAAGTGCCACAAGAATACATAGAATACCATTTTTGTTAATAAATGGCAAATAAATCATAGTGGATTAACACAATAAAATACCAACCATAAAAAGAATATGTTTTGACCTGAAGAGAATGTCTGTGATATATTGGTAAGTGAAATAAGTAGCAGGAGATTATGCATAATATATGATCTAATTTAAAAATTTATAACAAATTAAAAATGTAAAAACAAATAAATACTAATGCTAATGTCATTCAGCCGATGAACTGAAAACAGAGGAATAGGCAGCAGTTATGGACTAGCTGTCTGTGGGGGAGGGGCTTTCATTTTCTGGTTACATATTTCAGCAACATTTGCATTCCATTTGTGATAGGCATATAATAAAAGAAACTAACATCATATAAAATGCTAAAGCACTTTATGAATTCCAACAAAATTTAGGAAGAAACAAACTTGATTTCTCTCCTTCTCCCCGAAAATGTGCCTTCCCCATCTTGATAAATGTTACCATCACTCATGCAGTTGCTTGGCCAAAAACCCTGAGAGCCACTCTTGCCTCCTCTTTCTTCCTTGCTGCTTTCAGCTTCCAATTCATCAGCAGGCCCTACAGCTTTCCCTCTAAACACACACCAAACCAGCTCCCTCTCACCCCTTCACCTCCGGCCTGGTCTGGTGCTGTTCCTCCCCCTGCCTCCATGGATTTCAGTTTCTCTTCAAGACCAACAGATCCACTGGGATTCCAATTATGCTCTTTGACCAGTCTTTATTCTCACTGATTTTTTTCTTCTTCCATCATTAACTGGGCTAATTCAGCTAGATCCTTGTGTGTCAACGGCTATGAGTGTGAGTCTAACAGCTCTCCAACACCATGTGCATCAACCTCATGAAATTCCAAATATTTTGATAGATTTGCCTTTTTACTTTGCAACTGATTTTCACTTTATTTCAAGAGTTTGACCAAATTGGCCCAATGGCAACGTGAAGTGAAGAATATTAAGCAGTCAAGTCATTAGTGAATGTTCTAATGTTAAAAACTTTGCTTTCATGGGGACTGTAACTGTTGGGATGCTGATAAAGAATACTCGGATAAGGAGGTCCCCTTGCCCAGGAATTAATTTAATGCAAATGATACAAGATATTTATGAAGACAAACACACATATTATACATTACATACATAATACTATGTACATAATTTGTAAAGAGCTCTTTACAGACGTAAAGAAAAAATACAAACAGCTCTCTAAAAAATGTGCAATAGTATGAATAGGTAGTTAGAAAAGAACATGTAAAAGGCTATAAACATGTGAAAAATATGCTTATCCCCACTTTTGGTTATAGCAAAGCAGACCAAAAATAGCAACAAATATTAGTGTTCCTTTATTAGTTTTGCAAAAATGTTAAAGATTGATAAAACTTAGTATAGGTGAGGGTATGGGGAAATGGTTGATAGTTCACATTATTGGTGGGAATGTAAATTGAGTCTTTTTAAAGCGGCAATTTGCCATTAGTTGTGGACATTTTAAATGTGCATATTCTTTGATTCAGTAATTTTACTTTTAGAAATTTATGATACCGATATACTCCCACAAAAATGTCAAGATGTTTAGTGTGAGTCTATCTTTTAATAATACATGTGTGCATATATGTGTATATACATATATACAAAAATATATATGTGTATGTATTTTTGGATGTGCAAAAAAAACGTTTTTGGAAGTTCTAACAGTTCTTTTCTATGAGGAATGGGGAATTGGGGGTTGGAATAAGAGGGTTTTTACAATAAGTAAGTATACATTTGTAATAGAAAAACTAATTAAACTTCTGATAGCATAAGGCAGGGCTTTAATGTCAATGTGAGGGCAGAAGACATAAACCTGGGCTCCTACAGAGTGCCTGTTTGTACTAAGAGGACTGAGACAATATCCATCCATAAGCCAGGGAAGTGGTGAGGAAGTCTGTAGTCTACCCAGGCCTTAAGTAGGGGGAAAAAGCACCAACTATGAGAAAGTTGAAACACAAGGTCAGCACTCATGTGTTCAGGAAATCCGAAACCAATAAATTAGCATAAAGTGCTGATCAGAAACCAGCGAAACCCCAAAGCCCCACAGAAACAAAAGCAGAACCATTCTGTTGGAGCACTTTCATAACCTAAGAACTCCCACAAGGAAAAAACACTGAAGCTCACAAACAACACAAAAATACAAACCACACAGGGAAATAATTCATCATGAGAAGGAGTTAACAGTCATTACTTTGAATCCTAAGTAATGAAGATGATAGGGCAACTTTAAAGGGACTAAGTACGCTTAAAATTATTAAAAAGTGAAAGGCAAGAAATCTCAATGAAAGAACAAAGGCTATAAGAAAGAGAACAGGAGGTTTTACACAAAAAAGAATGGCTAGAAATAAAAAAAAAACAGTTATTAAAATAGATTTCATGGAAAATGAAGTGCAACTAAAGAGATTTAGTGAGCCAGAAGACAGATTTGAAGAAACCACCCAGTAATCAGCTCAAAATATTAAGAAGTTTTAAGAGTTGTGGAGGAAAGAATAAGAAGGTCTCATATATGTTGACTAGGAGTTTTAGATGAAAAGAATAGAGACAATGGGGGAGAGGCAACATATGGAGAGAAGTCCTTGGCAATATGTAAATTGAAGTCCTTGGATTAAAAAAGCAAGTAATTCCTAAATAGGAGAAATAAAATAAAATAAAATACCTAGACATATCCCAGTGAAACTTCAAGATATCAAAGACAGAGAATATCTGAAAAAGCATCCAGAGAGAAAGGACATATCTACAAAGGAACGACAATCAAACTGACAGCAGATTTCTTTTTAGCAACCATGGATGATCAAAGACAATGGACCATCACAGCCTCCAAATCAGAGAAGTCCCATCTATCTAGAACTCTATGCCCAATTAAATTCTCATTCAAGAGAAAAGCATCATGGAGACATTTAAAAATAGACCCAGAGGGTTTACCATTCACTTGGCCTCACTGAACTAAAGGATGCACTTCAGTAAGACGGAAACTGAACCCAGAAGGAAGATTGAGAAGCAAGAAACAACAGTGAGGGAAGATATTTTTTAAACATGCAGGCAAAAGTAAGTGAATATTGACTATATTTTAAAAAGATGATCTTGGAGGGTTAATTTTAGAGGGTTTAAAAAAAGAACGTGGAAGAGAAATATTAGAAAACAGTAACATGAAAGACACAAATAAGAAAATCAGAGTCCAAACATTCTAAACTTATTCTATTGCTCAAAGTGATAATTAAGAAACCCACTGACTTTAGACTTGCTGAGTCTTACATTAAAAGATAAGGGTAACCACTAAAAGAATAGATAGAGATAGAATGTATCACTTCCAAACTTGTACGGAAGAGAGGGAAACAAAATTTGATCAATCCAATATAAGGGAGAACAATGGAGAGAAAAAGAGCAAAGAAAAATCATAGCAAACAGAAAATAAGAATTGAGACGATCAAACTACCTCTAAATATTACAAAAATGAAAATGGATAAAACTTTACTGTTCAAATACAAATTCTCAGATTGAATTTAAAAACAAAGCTAGCTATAGGCTTTTTAAAAAGAGACATATTTAGTGACTTCTGTCATGGAAGACTAACCAGACTAGTCCCTCCTATTGTAAACAATTAGAAAATGGATAAAATATAAGAAATATGTTGTTCTCAGATACTGAACAACAGGACACTGACATTGGACAATGGACACAGGACTTGAGAGAAGGGAAACAAATGCCATGAGCTCTACCATCACCTTCAGCCCGGGGACCCTGACTGCACTGTGAGGGGCGAGGGGGATCCTAAGCGGAGTGCAGGAGTCCCACCAGGATAAGGATGGAGATTGGGGAGTTGGGGGTGGAGGTGAGGTAGCTGGAATTGGTAGGACAGGGTATGAGATAAGGGGAATCTACACCTAGAAAGACCTCCCCCTGTGCAAGACTGGGACAGACTCTTCGGAGAAAGAAAGGAGTAGATATTGAGGATCTCTGAGAAAGGGAGGGCGTGTACTTAGGGGTGAGAAATCCAAATAGGTTTGGGGGGATCTGAGTGCAGAGCCCAGGCAGCCAGCAATGTCCCAGAGTAGACTTGGCTAACGGGCCTCACAAGCTCCCAGACACCTCAAAATGACACAGAGCAGCAGAATGAACCCAAAAAGGTCAAGGGTACCAGCTGAGGGAGAATCTCACGCGTGTGACTCTGAGAGGGAGTGCCTCCTTAAAGCCTGTGCCCCAGGTGCCTTGCTTGCCTCACCCACATCCCAGCTCTGAGTGGAGAGGCCCTGGAAGATGCGGTTCCACAGGGAGAGAGAGGCCCCGTAAGCAGAACTGAGGCATCCCTGTTGAGCTTCCAGCTGAACAGGGCCATGGGAGGGATCCTAGCTGGCATTATGTGAAAAAGAATGACCTAGGCCACTTACAGAATCATGGGAAAGAATAAACCACTGTGTTTGAAGCCACTACATTTGGGGTGGTTTGTTATGCGGCAATAGATAACTGAGTTACTTGGTTCACAAAACGCTCCAAACTCAGGTGTAACTCAAGGGAAATGGGAGAAAAAGCCTGAATTGAGTATGTTTCTTCGATTTAACAGACTAGAGGCTTGTACTATCCATCACATTTCAATTATAGAAAAAGAATTAATGTCACTTTTCTCACATACCTGGGGACATCTGAAATGCAGATCCATCCTCTCTATGTACTACGTGAAAGGACAACAATTAGAGCTGATCACTTCTCACTGCTTAGGTGGCTGCCACCCAGTGACCACTTCCCAGCACCCCTAACTCCTTCTCTGGTAACTATACTCCATTTTTCCATTTTGCAAACTGCCTTCCTCCACTCTGTGAGCACTGGAGGTACTTGCAGTCAGGGTGTCTGGCCTGTGTCTGGGGATGGACATGTGAGCAACCCAGGCCAGCTACACCTTCTCTCCCAGACCTGCTAGCACAAGAACTGAAAGCCATTGGGCCTGTGTCATTCCAGTGGCCCAGGAGAGACCATCCGAGGGTTCCTGCTACCAAGATTCCTGGATTCCCTTGGGTTTCTCTCCTGCCCTGCACCTTGGAGTCTTCCAGCACCTTCCAAAAATCTGCCTTTCTCTTAACTCAGCCAGAACTGGTTTCTGTCGTCTGTCATCAAATAGCCTTGACTGACATGTGATATGGCCTGTTAGGGCAGAAACTCCATGGTGTCCTTTATATTTTTCAGTGTGGAGGTCACATGGTTGGGCCCAGGCACCTGCAATTCTTGCCAAGAGGATCACTTGAATGAGGAGCACTGATTTATCTGAATGGAAATCTGTCAGCAACTCCTTGGAGAAAACCATACCTCCTGGTCCACTGCCTGGGGACACACATTTCCCTCTCTCTCCCCAGAGAAGTCTCAGCTCCCCATCTATCAGTGGCTCTCATCCTCTTTCTATTTCCAGATGTCAGTCTAGCCTGTGTCTTCTTCCCACCAAACCCTCCAACGGCGCCAAGTATGGTACCACGCTTGTCATAGGTTCTAATTATTGGTGGGTTGATGTGACTGATGTAACTATGCCAGAGTCTCTCCTCTGAGACTCCTACTTCATGGCCACAGGCACGCAACAGTCTGGGTGTATGTAGGACAGGGCAAACCACAACTGTGATGACAGGTCCCCAAGGTTGTTGGGCACTTGGGTGAGCATATGAGTTGTGGTTGGGAATGCTATGGACCAACACTGTGAGAGCCAAACTCTCTAATAAGGTGGATCCACACATGGATGAGGCCTGGCCCCTGTCCAGGAGGGATGCCCTTGTGCCAGGCTGTCCACCACCCAGCCCATGTAGGCCCAGGAGAGTGAGTCCCTGGGTGACATGTGTTACCGTTTCTGCAGGACAGTGACAAACTCGGTGAGCCGGTCGCGCTCCACCTCAGCAGCCTGCCAGAGGGCCTTGAACTCTGTCACCTGTGCCTGCCAGCCTTTTTGTTCTGGGGAGTCCGAGAACCTGGGGACCAGGATGGGGGATAGAGGTCATTTAAGGTGTTACCTGAAGACATACATACTCCTGTGATGGTGGGAGGGACTGGAAGGCATTCAGGGGTCCTCAGAGATAGCCAGAGAGATGGAAGTCAACCTAGTCCCTCCTGGTCTTCCTCCTCTGGCTTCTTCTCAGCCCACCATTCCTGGCCCTGCTGAAGGCTAGATCTCATGCAGCTGGCTCCAAAGCCAGACCCCACCGGGGCTGGAGTTGCATCAGCACCTCTGGCCCTCCAATCCCTGTAGGGGCCTGGAATTATCTAGCTGCTATGGAAGTTGGCTCTTGTGGACCTGGGGTGCCCTGGGTACCTGTGTGACCTGGGGCATGGCCACCCTGCCCAATGCCAGGTGGGCCCAGCCTCTGTCTCCCTGCCAGCCTGCACTAGCCCTCTTGCATCTTCTGACTTGGCCCCAAGCCCAGCCCACTTTCCTGGAGCCTGGACACTTGGCTTTGTGACTTGGTCAGTTTTCTCCAGCCCTGATCCCACCAATCACTGCCTCCCTCCTCACCACTGGGCCTGCCTACCAGCCCCTTACCTGCTGGCTGGGGTCAGGACAAAGGTGAGCTCTTCTCCCTACCCCAACACCCCAGAGCCCACATGTGAGTCCTAAGCTGCTCTCTGCTTGCCCTCACCTTTCCCAGTGAGACCCTGGTGACCCCGGGCTTGCTCTTCCAGTATCACAGGACATAGGGAGTGCTGGGCTGGGGCAGGCGCTCCCAGAGGCTGACTTGTTCTGTGGTCTTGGGCAGGTCTCTTCCCCTCTCTGGGCCCCAGTCCTCCCTCTAAACAGTGAGGGAGTTGGCTGAGATGGGCTCTGAGGACTGCAGACTCCTCCATGTTCTGACTCCTAAATATAATCTAAGGCTTTGCTACTCAAAGTGTGGTCTCTGAGTCAGTGGCTGTGGCATTACCTGGGAGCTTGTTAGAAATGCAGGATCCCAGTCTCCAGCCCAGGCCTGCTGAATCAGAACCTGCATCTAACCTGGCAGCTCTCCAGCTGTGTTTGTGTGCAGTTTGGAAAACCCTACTCTCGTCACCTCTATGATCTCACACAGTAGGGAGGAGCAGCAGGAGAAAGGAGCTGATCCCCTTGCCCTGCCCTACTCCCAGGTACCCTATCTGAGTCACCACACTGGCCCTGAAAGACACACTCTCTGGGGTCACTCCTGCCCCATGAACTCCTGTCCCGTCGCTGAGGGAGGGGACTGTAAGCTCCATAAGGGCAGGGCGCACACATGGTTGGGTCCAGTAAATTTCTGTGTGTTGTGGAAGAAACAAGCTTGGGAACCAGCAGTGTGGGCAGCCCAGGAGCCCACTGGCTCCTGCATCCCTGTGAGTACAAAGGCCACAGCACACAGGCCTGGAAGGGACCTTGAGGGGTCATCTTGTTCATCCTCCTGCTCCTACTACTGTGACTAAAACCTCAGAGAGACAGAGCCTGCCCATTCTCCCCGTGGTGTGAGAAGTGTGGCACATGCCCCTGAGGCTCAGAGTTGGCCCACTCTCCCCCAAGTGACCTTGTGACCCCAGGCTGATGAGTGGGAAGATGCAGGGTTGGCATTGGCCCATGGTCCCTGTGCTGCCAAATGTCAGGCCAGAAGCGTCTCAGGCACTTCTTGGGAAATAGCAACCAAGAGAGGATCAATTTGCCCGAGTCCCACAGCAAGTCAAACGTGGGACAAGGGCCACTCAGAGGCCTTGACCAGAACCTGAGCTGACCTGCCTGAGGGGTGGAGGTGGGGCTGACAGCAGGAGCATGGCTCCAGGGGACAGTGGGCAGGGCTCAGGACAGAACTCAGAGGCAGGACAAAGCCACCCTTTGTCTGTGAGCTGGCAGCAAGAACAAAGGGCCCATTTAAGCCCTAAGGCTTGATTCTATCAACAAAGAGGGGGCTAGAGAGTGGAGTGGATATCAGTGGCTTAAAGTGGGAACCCATATGACATGAAATTCTCCCCCTAGAGACTAATTCTCATGGGCAAGAGAAAGCAAGGGAAGGTGCTGGGCTCAAGGCCCTGGAAGGTTCATGTTAACTCTGTGGTAGAAGGAAGAATATTAGACTGCCAATTAGAGGCCAAGACTCTAGTTCTGAAGCCACTTACTCTATCATCTTGGACAAGGCACCAAACCCTCTATGTCCTTATGTAACTTTGGAAGAGTTCCTGGACTTGGCCTGGCCTTGGTTTCCCTTCCTTTCAATGGGATGGCAATGGTGGCTGAGCCATTAAGGATGAGAAGGGCTGTGAGGGCCCAGGGGTCCTGGGTTCATACCTGGGTGAGGCCCCATGAGGACTGGGCAGGGAAGGCCACGTGAGAGCAGATTCCACCAGTGTGTGGCCCAGGCTGGTCACGGAGCTGTGCCAAGGCAGAAGGGGCTCATCACCACGGGAAGGCAGGCTGGGCCTCACCTCTGCAAGCGCCCAGCTGGGAGGAGAGCAGGGGCCAGCAGGGGTCTGAGGAACCCGAAGAGGTGGCCACTGCTGGCCCTGGTAGCAGCCCTGTGGATTTGCTGCCCTTCTTTCCAGAACTCTCACTTGCTCAAAACAAGACAGAACCAAGAGACATCAAAGCCTTGCACAATCCAACAGAGGTCTGACAATCCCAGAAGCAGGTATTTTGAGGCGAGCTCGGAGAGGATTTTACAGGGAGCTGCAACCAGCTGCACTTGAAGAAATAATATCTGGGCCTAACTGGCTCCTTCACGCAGATGCAGGGCTAACGGAACAGGAGAGACCCATGTATTGGATGGAAAACACCACAGTCATCTTAAAACTGCACCCGTGGCTTCCCCACAGAGGCAGCAGGAAGCAGCCTTCCTTCTGAGTAGCTAATATTCACTTTCCAACCCCTCCATCCCATCGTTTTCTTACCGAGAAGATCCAAGCCTGCCAACATGATCGCCTGCTGATGCCGGGGACTTGGTCAGGCCCGGGTCCTCCGGGAATTTGGTGGAGGCGGGGCTGACCTCGGGCCCCCTGGACCCCTCGCCTACTTCTCTATTCCGAAGATACTGCAGGGAAGAGACCTGGGGTCGATTCTCAGGGCTTTGGCTCCGATGCCTGGAGAGGCAGGAGGGCACCTTGGCTCAATTCAGAGCTTTTAGGGGATATGAAAGAGGCTTCTTTTCAGGAGTGAAAAGCGAGGCCTGTTTGGTGAAGGCACTCTTTGCATGATAATGACATCTAATAATGCCTCTCTTCAGAAAGGGAGCTCCAAGGCGTGAGGTGGTGACTGGGCCGGAAGCTGGTCTACATTCGGTAGGAAGAGAAGTGTGTGGCCTATGATTTGGGGCAGATCAGAGACTGATGTCTTCAAGTGGGCCCACCTCTCCGGGCAGCTCCACCCACATGTGGATGAATGCCAGGTGTGACTGGAGGCCACCTGCCTTTGACAGCTGGAGATACCTGGACCTTCCAGACACCCAGAGCCAGAGAGGCTAGCAGGGCCTCAGCAAGGGCCGGCAGCCTTGCGGGGAGCCTGGGTTGCTCAGGCTCCCTTCCCTCCCCACACCCCACCTCTTCTGGATAGCTGGTGAGGCTGGGCTGAAGAAGGAACATTGGAGAACCCCCAGCAGGAGGCCAGGCTACCATCAAGGGGTAGACAGCCCCAGTCTGGCATGTCCCCCAGCCCCACCCATTCTGAGAAGACTCGCAGTGTGTGCCAACTTGTCTGGTGGGTAGTGCTTGGCCCCCAACTGGGTGGTGACCTCTCAGGTAAGGATCAGTCAGTCCTCTTTTGTGTGCCTGGAGCCAGGACAGTGGTGAGGTGAAGACGCTGGAATGTTCCTGTGTGTCCCTTCAGACTTCACTCCCCAGAGAGCCTGGGATGACAAGCAGGGTGAGGACTGCAAGGTGATGCCCCCACTCATTACCCCACATACTCTGTCCCCGGTCTTCCTCAGCCTCAGGGCTTCAGCATTCTCTACCACAGTCAATCCTGTGGCCGCAGGCTGCCCTGGCCCCTGGAGACAGACGGCTACAGGACAAACTGCCAAGACTAGCCAACACCAGCCTGGGGCTGGGGCAGAGGGGCTCCTGGGTGCCCATGCCTCTGACTGGACCATGGAGCCCTGGGAATAAAGGACAGGGCTGCTGAGTGACACAACTTTGGCTATACCAGTCAGCCTGGCTGTGAGGCTCCTCTGTCACTGGGAAACCTGTGCGAATGTCAAGGAATCCTTCTCCAGATGCCAGCAACTCCCCTCACCCTCAGCACCACCACCACCACAGGAAGGAGCCACACGGGGCCCATGGTGCCTGACTTCTAGCAGACCAGGCTGTGCCCTCAAGGCACTGCCAAGGCAAAATATCTTCAGGTGCTCACTCATTAGACAAGCATTTATTGACCATCTACTGTGTGCTTGGTCCTGTGCCAGGCACTGAGGTACCACGTCTGTGCCCCCTCACGGGGAGTGTGGGAGAGAAAACAGGAAAATGATCACATAATGTGACAACAGTTTGGCTTGGGATGCACAGGGAGTTAGGAGAGTACTCAGGAGGGGCAGGTAACACAAAATGGGGAGGCCCTACAGCTTCCTGGAGGAGCTTATCACTAGGTAAGACCTAGAGGCTGAGGGGCAGCCGGCCAGGCAGAGGCAGTGGGGAGGAAAGGGAAGGCATGTGCTTCAGGCACACGCACAGGCCTGGAGTGTGGAAAAGGCAGGGTCATGGGATGAACGAAATGGCATCCATGTGGCCAGAGTGTGGGGGAAAGGAAGAGGTGGAGAGAAGGTGCAGGAAGCACGGCTGCAAGAGATAGTCACACGGTGCCCTGTGAGCTGGATAAAGTGTGGCTTCTCTTTCGCCATTCTGTTGCCTGGAATGTGAGTGTAAAGGCTGGCACTGTAGCCACCATCTTAGATCATGAGGATGAGGGCCACAGCTGGGGAGGGAGAGGATGAGCTGGAAGGATCCTGGACCCTTGAGGACTGGGCGAGGCCGAGGGTGACGGGGAGCCACAGATAGGTTTTCTGCAGAGCAGAGAGAAAATCAGGCTAGTACCTTAGAGAGGAATGGTATGCACAGAATAGGGAGTCAGACGGAAGCAGGGAGCCAAAGTCGACCAAGTAGGACGTAGTATAGTCTGAGTGAAGGCAGGTAGAGAGAAGTGGAAGTGGCTGAGATTTCTCTGGGTGGTGTATGGACTTGTCTGGACCTGGAAATGGATGCTGGGCTGAGACGGTGGTCTACTCACCCGCACGCTGAGTTGCCTGATCTCCAGCTCCAGCTGCTGCACCTTGGCCTCCCGCTCAGCCACCATGGCCTGCAGCTGGGCGACGAGGCTACTGCTCTGCTGTGCCTCGTTGTTGAGCTGCTGGTCTAGGTGGTGCTGGGATGCTCGTGTCTTTTCCTCCTGCAGACTCAGGCTGCCCAGAATCTCCTGTAGCTGCTTCAGCTGGTCCTGGGGGGCCAAGCAGGAGCGCAGGTGAGGGTCAGCCATGGCCCCCGGGTAAGGAAGGACAAGGGAAGACCGCATCCCCCCACCCCCAGCAACCCACCCCTTCCCTGCTCCTGCAGGAACCTAACAGTGGGAAAATAGTGTTCCCTTGAGAGGCAGGAGGACCGCCTTCTTGCCTGCCCACAGTGGAGTTCAACCAGGCAGGTGGGGACCATGCCCTTTTCCTATCCTCAACTTCCTTCCCCCTGATATCACGGCCAAGAAGGATATCCAAGGGGCTTTCAGGACAACAGAAAACAGCTCAGATGGTGCCCCTCAGCCAGTGGGACAGATATGTGGGTAAAGAAACCCCATCCCACTCTGCTGGGAGACAGCCCTGAAGGCAGTACCTGGACCCCTGGCTAGGGATGGTTCAGCACCTGACTGAGACCCTATCCCCTGGAGATGCCCTCCAGGAGACTCCTGGGGTGGAGGCTTCCTGTCTGGGGGCCAGGAAGGACGATGTCAGTGACTGGGAACAGGTAGGGGCTGTCCTCACCACACAGTGGAAGAAAGGGAGGCCCAGAGAGCCCAAGGCACACTGCTGGTGAGTGGCAGGCCTGGAGCAGGTTTGCAGCTCTCTTCGTGCCATCTTCAGTGACAAAGAATGGTGGCATACAGGGACCTCAGAGGACAACCAGCCCCACATCTTATTTAAAAACTGGGAGCTGAGGCTTAGAGAGGATCAATTAGACCTGGGTCACACAGTGAGGCATCAACACAGGCAGGCCCAGATTTCAAGTCTTCTGTGCCCCACCCACCACCCTGCCTGGTGCAATTATTATGGACTAAGGGGCGCCTAAGCCAGCATCAGGTCCCCCATGCACCCCCGTCAAGCCAGGTGTGAATACCCCAGGGGCCTGTGGGCACAACTTGGAATTCAGAGACCAAAGCTCTGGGGCACCTCAGGCCCCAGAGAGAAAGGGCCAGGCCAGGGGCAGGAAGGCAGAGTGGCTTTGCTAATCAAAGGTTTTACAGTCAGAGCAACCTGGTTGGAACTCAGTTGTACCCTCTGGGATGATTTATCTAACCAGTGGGGGTCTTAGCTTCCCCATCTGTGAAATGGGTTATCATATATGACCCTAGGGGTTATCTTGGTGACTAACCATTATACACCACACCCCTAGTGCCCACAAGGGGAAGGGATCGATGCCATCACACTGACAAGGATTTGTACTGGGGCCTCAGTTGTCCCTTCCATTCCTTGATGAAAAATAGACAGTGTAATCCCATCTCGTTGCCCCTCACCCATTTCTTTCTCCTTTGGGGTCCACAGGCCCAGTGGCTTGTGCCTAGCATCAGCTTCACACAGCAGGACTTATGTACGCCCTCAGGTAGCCTAGGAGCTGCTCCTGTCCCTGGGGTGGGCCTTTGGGACTAGGGCCCATCTGAAGGCAATGAGCTTCTGGGTTATGCAGTAGCATTTTGTAGAAAGTGAGAGCTCACTGTGGGTGGGGTTGGGTCACAGGCTTCTGGGTGGGGTGGGGGGCCTGAGCGGCTGGGCCGTACCATGAGGGCGTCGATGAGCTCATCATCATGCCTGCCCTTCTCCACGAGGGTCCCCATTTGACTCTTGAGGGTCTTCACTTCGCTTGACAGCACCTTGTTCCGGGACCTCATGCCCTCAAACTTTTTTTTCAGCTCTTCAAGCTCTCTCTGGAGGGCATCCCGCTCACCCACAAGTTTCTGTAATCAGACAGTACAGTCATAGGCAGCAGGGCTGAGTGGGACCTCGGCCACATCTAGTCCCTCGCTCCCACTCACTGTTGAGACCCAGAGATGGGAAGGGACTTGCTCACCCCACCAAGAGCTAGAACAAGAAGGGAGGCTCTAGCTGCCACTCTATCCCTCACTTCCTCCAGCACGGCACCCCAGACTGCACCTCACTTTGGTCAGCTAGAAACCAGAAGCTCACACACTGCACATGGCTTTGGAGTCACTCATTCATTCATTCCTTCTCAAATATTTCCTGAGGGCCTACTATGTGCTTAGCATTGTTATAAGTGCTGGGGATACAGCTGAGAACAAAACAGACAGAGTCCTTGTCCCCAAGGAGCTGACAGCCTAGTAGGGGAGAAGGATAATGCCAGATGGTGACAAATGCTAATTGAAAAGTGGGAGAAGGGACTGGGGGGACCATGGTATCGTCAGGGAAGGCATGGCAGGAAAAGGTGACATGTGAGCAGAGACTGAAGGAAAAGAGGGTAAGAGCAAAGGCCCTTGGTGGAACATGCATGCCTGGAGCGCAGTGCACGATGGGGCAGGTCAGGAGCAGGTCATGGGGGCAGAGGCCAGATTAGGTAAACCCTCAGAGCCAAGACTGAGACACTGCAAGGGTTTCGGGCAGTGACTGACATAATCTGATTTGGTCTTAAGGGTTAATTATCACTGGAAAAGTGTTTTCAGATCCTTGATGAAGTGAGTTATAGAAATAAAAAAGAGTAAAACATGATGAATCTACAGGACTACAGCTCTTTGATGGGAGACAGCCATTGTTCACCTGTTGCTCTGCTGTCTACACACTCCAGGCTCTAGTGGGTGCCTGGCAGACAAAATACACACAGGAGATCACTTCCTACTACCCACATTGTGGGTCAAGGATGGTCCAACAATTCTAACATATTCTGTTCTGGGTTAATGTGTAAATCTGAGCCAGGTGCACCTCAAACCCAAGATTTTCAAATTTCAATTCCCCATCTCCCTTGAACCCACTCCTTGTCTCCTCTACCCACCTGCTACACTCACTTAAAGTCCTTCATAATTCTTCCTACTCTTCTCTCTGCCATGTCTGGTCACTGAGTCCTATAAAGTCAACACTCAATGTCCCAGGCATCCACCCTTCTGCTATAGTCGTACTATAGTTCTGCTATAGTCTTGGTGCAGGTCCTTGGTCATGTCTCAAGTGGATTATTGCTTCTGCCTCCCATGCCTCCTCTGACACATCCCCCCATGCCTGACCATGTGATCTTTCCAAACTGCACGCCACCATGTCCCTCCACAACTTAAAACCCTGTGGTGGTTCTCCAATGCTTTTAAGATAAAAGCTCAAATCCCTGACCAGCATGCAAGGTGCAGAAGGACCTGGCCCTGCCCACTCCTCCAGTCTTACTGTTCCCCTCCTTACACCTGATGGTCCAGGTTACTGGCAGGTACAATGTGGCAGTGGTCACAACGTACCTAGTAGAGGGCCCAGTCCCGAATTGGGACTCACAATAGAAGTCTCCCAGTGAAAAGGTAAGCCCTCATTGTTAGGAAGCCCATTGCCAGGGCCACTGAAGTGCCCATTTGGCCTGCCAGCACCTCCTCCCCGTTCTTCCTCTGCTTTCTTTGTGGAAGCCCCTACTTTCCACTCTTAAGCCAAGTTCAGAGAGGCTGACTAATCCCCTAGACACTCAGGGGCAGATATCTGAAGCTTGGCCATCAAAGCATCCTGTACCCTTAGCCACAGCGATTAGCTCAGGGATGGGCACGTGGCCTAAACCAGCCAATGACACTCAATTCTGAGACTTTGTCGGAACTACTGGGAAAGAGAAGCCCTTTGTGGGGGCTGGGTTGGAGGATAGAAGCTGGGACTACCAGAGGTCCCTTTGGAAGAGTGTGAAGCCAAACGAAGAGAAAGTGGCACTGAGACCAAGTCCCTAAATCCCACTGTTCCTGAGGCCATGCCACCTCTACACTCTTCATCTACATGGGCCAATAAATCCTCTTTGTCGCATAAACCTGGTAGAGTTTGTCTTCTGACACTCCTAAGTCAGCCAGCGAGATGCAGCCCGTGGTGCTGATACCAGCCTGCCCAACTCTTTCAGCAGCCTGGAGCTCTCCTCCTTTAAGGCCCATCCGACCCTATCACACCTCTGGGGCCATGATCTTCTCCTTCTCCTCTTACAAATGAAATTTCAGATCCAACATCTCCAAAACAGCCAGGACGGGATGGGGAGGGGGGCACCCAACAGTCATGACATGGGCTCTGGGTGAGGACTCAGCCAGGCAGCTCAAGCTGGATCAACAGGACGTGAGGAACATGCACAGCAGTGACCCCAACCCCAGGTGTCTCCTGGCTGTCAGGGTGCCTCAGACTCCTTGCAGGGGTGGTCATGATCTCCGGCTCGCACATGCCCCCTGACCTCCTCCCCAGGCATGCTTTACCTCCCAGCTTTCCTGTTTTTCCCTTTCCAAGTTGCGGATCCTGAGCAGGTTTTTCTCCTGTGCCGACAGCTTCCTTGGGTCTGGATAGACAGATCTCTCGTCGCTGGCTATTCCCACAGACCGGCTCTGGGTCTGTCCCACTTGTTTCTCAAGCTCTCGAACCTGAGGGTGGTAAAACTCGTCGTTCCACAATGGGTCTGCAGTCAGACTCCACTACTCAGAGGGGCCACCCTGAGGTGTGACAGGAGACCGCACTAGACAGAGAACACCCCAGTTCCAGATGGACGTGGAAACCTCACATGAGAGGCTTCCTCGGGAGGACACAGTTTCCTGGCCAGTTGGAGGAGATGTTGCAGAGGGAAGGGAGGGTGTGGAAGCTGAGAGACCAGCTCAAAACCTCACTGGCTGTGTGACTGTGCACAAATTACTTAACTTCTCTTAATCTCAGGTCCTTCCTCTGTGAAATGGGCCTAAGGGTACACTTGGTATTGTGTCGTTATGAGGATTCAGTGTCCTGAACTTGTCTGAGCCTGGGAACCCCCAAGACACTTCTTGGAATGACAAATCTTGGGGCCCACTCCAGACCAACAAGTCAGAGCTCCAGGGGAGGACCTGGGGATCTGCATTTTAAACAAGTGCTATGGGTAATTTTTAGGATTAGGTAACTTTGAAAAACCCCAAGATGGCTCAGGTAAAGTCCTCAGCACGGACCCCAGCACTCACAGGCTCTCAGCAAGGGGCAGGGAGAGGTCATCCCACAGAACCATGGCTTTATCACAGGGGTTGAAGTGCATAACTCCTAGGGCCCTTCTATCTCTGGTTTCCATGTTGACACAACATAAGGATGGAACAAAGTTGGGTAAACCTGAGCTGGGGCAAAATTCACCAGGGTCACTGGTAAAGGGCAGCAGTATGGCTCTGAAGGCACATATTAGCGCCCTCGTGTGGCACTGTGTGGTAATTCCATTGACGCATTCAAGAACATGGTATTACTTTTAATCATTTACTTACACAACTTAACAAGAACAAGGATAACTAACGTGTTGAGTGCTGATGACGGCCAGGCACTGTGCTGGGTGCCTTACATGTGTTATTTCATTTAACCCACAACAATCCCTCAAGGAAGGTATTGTCTCCATTTTATAGGTGAGGAGGCTGAGGCACAGCGAGATGAAGTGATTGGCCCAAGGTCACCAAACTTGTAGACCAGTGCTGGAGGCCGGACTCAGACTCAGGTCTCTTGAACCCCAAGGCTACACACTGGTTGTTAATTACAGTTTTTTGGAGACTTTCCCCACCTCATGTTGACTTTAAGGATTCCACAGGGGACCCTGAAGAAAAAAGCCCCCACAAACCGTGAACCTGAAGTCCCTGGGGATGAAGGTGATGCGCTTGGAAAACAGTAGGAAGTTACACACCTACTCGTGTATTTCTTGGTTTGAAGGCAAAAAAAAAGGAAAATAAGCACAGCTAACCTTTGGAGAGCGTTTCCTCTGTGCCAGGCATTGAGTGTTGAGCATTTTACACATATTGACTCATTCAATCCTCCCAAGAACCCTGTCGGGTGGGTACTATCATTATCCACAGTATACAGATGAGGAAACTGAGGCACAGAGAGATGAAGTAACTTGCCCAAGGCCACCCAGCTGGTGAGTGGAGAGCTGGGATTTGAATCCAAGCAGTCTGACTCCAAGCCCCTGTTCCTAGCCTCTAGGGACGCTCCAAAATATTTAGAACATAAAAAGGGAGACAAGGCTAAGTTTTTATTGGGTAACTAAAACTTTCAAAAGTCTACAAGCACCCAGACAAACCTGGAAAAAGCCTAGAAGAGTCACGCAAATTTACATGAACTAGGGAAAATATAAGCCTAGAGTAAATCAAATCAAAGTCTTTGGCATTTACTAAACGCCAGTGCCTGGCACGTGGTAAGTATTATATAAATGCTTGTTCGTTAAATAACAAATTAAAATCAGGCTTGTTGGGAGGAATGTAAAACAACAGCTCTGCAAGCGCGCCCTGCAGGACCTAAAGGCCTTTTTTGGGTTCTGTGTCTCTAATGTGCATCACTGTGGGTCTTTCTGGAGCATTTCAAGCCCTCTATTAGGGGCAGGAGAAGTCTGATGACTCACTCACCTTGCTCTGCAAAACGAGGATTTGTTGAGCCCGACCCCTCCAGGTCCCTGGTGAGGACAGGAGCTGCTGGACGTTCACATCTTCCCCAACCTCGTTGGCCAAAACCTGAAACAGGTGGGCCCTTCAGTGTGGCCAGGAGAGAGGGCCCCACCAGAGCCCTAATGTTGTTGCATATGCAGAAGCAGTGCTGGGTGCTGGGTGCGTGGGGCTCCTAGAGGGCCCAGTCTCCACCTACACAACCTCCCTCCCACCCCCAAGGCCAGTTGACCATGCTCCAAGAGCAGCTCTCCCTGGGCAAGCAATAAACCCATCATCCCTAGCACTTTTTGGTGATGCTTAGAGCAGACAAGGCACTGCTGACATGCCCAGATGGGGCCCCTTGCTCTCAATATATTCTGGGATGAGCAAACCACAAAGTTGACCGAAACCTGCTTCTTTAACTTGTTCACCTGTCACTGAGATCATTCTAGATGGCTACAGAGAGTACATTGCCACAGGGCCTTGCCCTCTGTGAAAAGCCACTGACAAGGAGCCCTGTCTGAGTGCGGCAAGGAGGAGGGCCGGAGAATGTTGATTGGGGATGTTTGGTTCCAGAAGGGTCCAACTCTGTGGCTGCTGAAGGGCAGTGTTCAAGGCCCCACCTCGAGGCTTTGAAGAGGAAATGAAATGTTCCAGCTTGTGCCCTGGGCCCCTCTGAAGCTGCCACAGAAACCCGATCTAGCGTACCCAGTCTCCGGCACTCGTTTCCACAATAGAACTCTGTTTTGGAAATCTTGGCCCATGTGAGTGGTTCCAGCAGGGAAGACAAATGCCAGAGAATTCACTATATAAATAAAAATAAATAACGAACCAGTTGGGCCTGCATCCCAAGTCTGAGTATTTTATTTTGAAAGGGGCCTTTAATACACAAACAATCTATTCATTTTCTAATATTACAGACAGCAGAGGGCAGGAGGCAGGTCTTGGCAGGGTCCCAAGTCCAAGGTGGCTTATTAAGGAGAGACCCAGGATCTACTGGGGCACACGTAGCACAAGGAAGGTTTAAAGGACTCTCTCTGGGTGGACAGCACTGTCCTCCTCGGCCCAGGCCTGGGCAGGCACCACAAGGCCATATATGCAAGGCCCCTCAGGCGGCCAGCAGTCCCACTCACCAATGTTCTGTATCAAGGGATGGTAGAAGGAAGTTACTGGATCTGAAGCCTGACCCAGAGCAAGCAGCGTGATACTCGCATGGCCAAGCACTCCTGAATGGAACTCATTGTCTCGGCCATGCTCTTCCCAATCCCAGTCATACAAGAAGACCTGACCCCTGGCTCTAAAATACCTTCTGGGCCATCCGGAGCTCTTGCTTCACAGACTGGATCTGGTTGCGGAGGTCACTCATCTTCAGGTTTGTGGCTGCCAGCCTGTCCTGCAAGACCTTCACCTCTGGGGTCTCCGGCTGGTTGGGAAGGACAGGAGGAAGAGCAGTCACTTGTTGCCTAAATAGTAACAATAACCATACCCCCATTTATCCAGGTGTGCACCAGGCACTGCACTAAGTGCTCAACATGGAGCAATTTACTTAATCCTCAGACACCCCTGTATGGTGGGTTCTACTGTCAGCACCCTAGAGACACAAAGCAGAGGCTGGTGGATGGTAAGTCCCCTCTGCTCGGGGTACCTGGTTGGGAAAGATGGGGCATGGATGTGAATCCTGGCAGCCCAACTCTGGGAGCTGAATCCCTTGCTCCGAGTGTTGCACGTACACTTGGAGGCATGCAGTGGCCACAGAGAGGGAGCACCTGGAGAAGTCCTGCAGGCTTCTCACTGCCCAGACCCTTCCTGGGTGTGCACTTTCTCTGCTGTGCTCCAGAGCTGGCATCAAAGCCAAACCATCTTCACTCAGAATAAAGAGGGAACTTGTTCATTCACAGACGGCAACTCCAGCTTGGCAGGAGGACCACGATCATCCTAACTTGGGGTCTCCCTGTCCCAGGACCATCAGCCTGGGCCTGGGGCTCCCTTTCCTGGCAATGAGTTCACTGAACAGAAGTAAGGACCCATTTTAATCCCCAAACATTCCATTTCTGTGGCTTGAAGAACTGCAGCAACCATGAATACTCTGCCTGCTGGAACTCTTAGCAACGTCTTTTAATTTTTTTTAGATAATGTTTGATTTAAACTATTTGGATGTAAGTTTTTCTCAAAGGTGCTGTCTCTTTCTCTGTCTTCAATAGAAGTTCCTAAGGCTCACAGAATTTTGGCATTAGAGGGACTCCAAAGTCAGCCCATTCAGACCCCCTCCATAAGTGATGAAAATGAGGTCCAGAGAGGGGAAGTCAATTGCCCTCAGGCACACAGATGGTTGAGGGGGTGACATAAGTGGGATCAGAAGCCTCGTCCTTCCCCTGCACTAGCTGATTCTATCAATTTAAGCTGTTGCTGATGCCCAGGCACCATGGCAGCAGGAAAGTTGGCTGGTGGGCTGTGACCCTCTGCTTCTGCCCCAACTGGCCAGGTGGGCTGGACTTCTGGGAAACAGGGTGGGTGCTGCAGTGGCTTTCTGATCTTTCCCCAGCAAGCACAAACAAAACTTCCCGTGAATGCTGTTGTGAAAGACAGGTCCAAGTAGACTGGGTCTGGGAGGTTCCATGGACCTCAGAGGTTGTGGACAGCCCCACTGAAAACCACTGGTCAAGGAAACCAGACCCAGGCACACGGTCCAGAAAGCCTGGCCTCATCTGGTTTCCTCATCTACGGAATGGGTATAAACATACTTCCCTGTCCTGCTTCCTCACAGCACCACCATGAGGCCAAAGAGAACAACAAATGCCAACAGAATTGGTAAACTAGGAACTTAGATGAAACACAAATGTATCTTTTTAAACATTCTTTTGTGTGTGTCCTTTCCCCACTCTGGCTGCTTGCTATCCCTTCTCACTGCTCTTGGGCACATGTCTCCCCCAGACCCCCCACCGCCAATGTGTTGCTTGGCATCTGCCCTGGGTTGGGAAGCAACACCCGCTGCATGTCAGATCTTCGGTGCCAAGAGCCCCGCTGGCCCTGACGGGGGGTGGTGCGGGAGCTGTGGGAATATATGAGCTTCCCATGTGCCTACAGTACCCCTGCCTGGAGCATTGAAAGAGCACAGGTTGGACCTGGGTCTGGAACCCAGGCAACGACACCACTCTCCAAGCCTTGTTTCCTCATCTGTAAAGTGTAGGGGGGTATGTAATATCAGCCTCCGGGTGCTTGTGAGTGTTGTAGGATAATGCATACAAAGGGTGCTGTCTGGGGCAGATTCTGACAGAGGACGATGCCAGGGGCTAAGCCTGGCTTGGGTGGGCAGCTGGCAAAGGGGTCTGAGGGCCAGATGCACGAGCAGCCACCACCCACTCTGCTCTGCCTGGCCCCACTGCGCCCATCTGGGGCAGCTGGGCCAACCTTACCTCCCTGTCACTTCAGAGCTGCTTCTGCCCAGAGTGAAATTCCACAGGCCTTGTGGGGGACTTGGGTATGGGCATAACCCTCCCCCACCCCGGGCTATTTTCTTTGAGAGAATAACTGAAACGCAGTCCATGGGGAGCAGACAATGCCTCATGGAGCCCTATGCTGAGGGGAGGTAGGGCCTTCAGCTCCACTCTGGAATGTGCTTTGGCGCTCTGGAGTCGGAATGTGGGGTAGCCTGCAGGCCTCTGGAGAGTGGCTTGGCTTGGGCCGCCCTGAACAGTCTAAGGAGGGGGACATTGCTTTTGTTCTCTCTCTGATCAGAAGATGCCCCAGAAAACACATAGTTCTCGTGAAGTGAGACTTGCAGCCCATTGCCCACTCTTCATCAGAAACCTCCCAGGCTCCACGCAGCCACAGAATCAAGCTGAAGCTCCTGCTCCTGCTGCCATTCAAGGCCTTCCTCGTAGGTGACCCCACCCCAGCTTTGTTTGGCTTATGTTCCCTTTTCCCCACCGCAGGCCCTGGGCTGCAGCCCAATGTTATCCAGAGGACACCCAGCTAGCAAAGGGAATAGGAGTAGGAATATTGAGTGTTCCCGGCCTCTAGCCTTGGCTTGCACTGTTCCTGCTGCAAGGCCCTCCCTCATCCTCCTCCTCCAGCCAGGCCCAGCTCAGGAAGGCCTCCTCCACCCCACCTCCTAGCTGCCTCAGACGGAGGGTGCGCTCCCTCTGTGAACTCAGAGCCTGGGGGCTCTTTGCTCACCTCCCCTCTTGGACACCCCTGGGGACACAGGCCCTGTCTTTGATTCCCTGTGTCACAGGACTCAGAATAAGCCTCTCAGGATGAACAGGTAACTGAACAAGCAGTTTCCCACCAAGGCAGCTCTAGTGAAGGACATGGAGGTGCTCAATGCTCTGGATGAACAAGGGGCAGCTTAGCAGGGACCTCAGAACCAGGAAAGGCCCTGAGGAACACTCAGTCTAGCCCCTGCTGTGGGCGGAGTCCCTCTACTGTCTCCCCAGGTTCACACAAGACCAGCCTTCAGGAGACATATTCACCCCTGGGACGCAAGGGGCCCATCACTGTACACTGTACACTGTACACTGCGGACTGAATTCTCAAGACGAGGCATGAAGCAGCTTGATCCTGACGTGAAGGCAACAGGGGAGGTGGGGCTGAACGGAGGAGCACTGAACGGGGAGTCCTGAGGCTTGACTCCCTGTTTCACCAACTGGTCTGGCTCCCCAAGAAAACCCCTGGGGAGGCCTCCCGGGATGTTCTCTGGGATATTTATTGTCTGGCTTGGGCTCCATGCCACTCCCTTATAGCCCACTGGGTCAGAGTGCCTTCCTTTCATGGAGCTGCAATTCTCATCTCCTGGGTTTCATGGACTGCTCACTGGCTTAGTAAAACGGAATCTTGGGAACAAGCCCCCACTCCCAGTAGTCACTTTTACTCTAGATTTGGAGCTCCACAAAGGGAAGATTTCTCACAATATGAACTGCCCCCTCAAAACCAGGGCTCCACGGGGCAGTAGTGAGCTCCTTGTCCCTGGGTTAAGGTAGTAGCTGGATGTCTCCCCAGCAAGGATGCTGTAAAGGAGATCCTTTACAGTTGGGCTGAAAGAGGGAGGCCTTTTGGACCAGGCCTTCCCTCCTGAGCTCGCTCTCTGGGGACTGGATCAGAGTTAGAGCCTCACTGGCCTCTACTGGGGCATTACTGACTTCAGGCCATAGACTTGGTTACTGTTCCCTGACGGCTGCTCTGAGGATGCTGTAGTGGTGGCACTGGCTCAGCAGTGGGGTGGAGGTGGACCCTGGACAGAGGCACCTACACTCCCATGGAAGCGGGGAGGCCCAGGCTGATGGCTGCCTCACAGACTCCCCAGCACAGAAGAGAACTCATACCAAGGCTCTGTCTCCCATCTGGGCCCTCGGCGGCTTGGCTCCTGCATCAGTGGCCCCCTTGGCTGGCAGCCTGGCCAGGGCCGTCTGCAGCTGGAAAAGCAAACCTCGCACTTAATATTGAATTCTGCTCAGCAATTTCAGCGCCTGAATAAAGTGCTCTGCTGCCACCACTGAGTGTGGTTCCAGCCTCAGTGGTTTACCTTTCAGCTCAACTTCAGGATCATTAATGATGAAAGAACTCTCCTCTACAAACTGCTCTGTGATGGGAGAAGCTTTCATTGATTGTCTGCCCCACTCCTCAATCGTACAGTAGAGAGCCCTAGGATTCACTAGCAGCTTAATAAATAATAATACTGCAGCCATGGTCTGTATCCTGGAGTTCTAACAATAGTCCCAGGGGCAGAGAGCAAAGGAATTATGGACTTCACGTTACAGACGAGGAGACAGGGTCAGAGAAGCCTGCCATATAGACTCATGGCCTGGTGGCCAGGACTGCCACCTTATACAGACAGTCAATCGACCCTTTATTGGTTTCCCAATTGTTCTTCACACAAAGACCACACCCTGTCTGACAAGGCTGGGCATGACCCACCCTCCCACCTCTCTGACCTCATCTTGCTCCACTCTCGTCCACACTGGTCTGCTTTCAGGCCTTCTTCCCCACTCAGGGCCTTTGCATCTGCTGGACCCTCTGCATGGAGGCCCCTGCCCCACCTCTCTGAATCCGGCCCCTTCTCATCCTCCAGGGACCCACCGTGCATGCTCCCCTCCCTAAGATGCCCTCTGCGTTGGTCTGTCTCCCAGGAGGGCAAGGACCATGCCTATTTTGCTCCCCACAGTCTCCCCAGGGCCTGGCACAGAGCCTGAGCTGGTTCTCAAAAAATACACTATAGAATAAAGAAGCTCTAAATCAATGCCAAGTATAATGCCTGAGGAGGATTGTGGAAAGCAACAGAATTGGGTTTAAAATCTGGCACCACCACACACTGTGTGACTTGAGAAAGCCTCTTAACCTCTTCCAGCATCGGCTCCTTAGCCATATAAGGAGAAGCTCCGTAGGTTTTCTCTAGCACATGGAGTCCATTCCAGCTCCTAAGGGACCATGAACTGCTCAGGCTGTGCCCTTGCTCGACTGGAGGGGTTTGCGACTAGCTGTGGGAGGGCGGGGCAGCAGAAAGAAGAAGATGGACAAAAGTGAGACCAACTGGTGGAATGCTCCTGGCTCTGCCTTCAAATGAGCAAAGATCGCTGCTCATTTATTTAACAAACGTTTATCTAGTGGGATTACCACATGCTAGGCACTGTTCTAAGCATTTTATGATGTTAAGTCATTTAATCCTCAGAAAACCTTAGGGTGAGTGCCATTATTATCGCCATATGACAGATGGAGGAAAATGAGGCACAGAGGTTTATAACTTGCTCAAAGTCACCAAGCAAGTCAGTGATGGAGCTGAGATCCACACCCAGTAGTTAGGCTCCAGGTCTGTGTCCTAAGCACTATGTCGGGCCACCTCTCCATGACCTGTGTCCCCCTTGCTTCCCAACACACTTTCCCCTCTCAGGATGTGACAAAGACTGAGGAACTCATCGCAAACGCTGACCCACAAGCCCTTCAGAAGGACCCCAAGCATCTAAGTGTGGCTCCCTCTCTGGAGGAGCGGCCCAGGGTCCCTCACTGAGAGAGGCAAGGCCCCTCACTTCCCGCTCCAGCTCCTGGATGCGATTGCTGAGCTGCTTCACTCTGGTTTTTGCACCCTCTGACTCTGCCATCAGCACCCGGTTCTTTTTGGATAGCTCGACAATTCTGGTGGCAATCACATCCCCAGCCACACCTGCTGTCCCTAAAATGAAGAAAAACAGTGAGGTCAATTAAAAACACAGGCTTACACATCAAACTCATGCCGCACCACCAATAGTGCTGGGGTTTTAAAAGCCAAAGCTGATCGGTGTGAAGACTCATGAAAGGGCAGAGGCTCAGAAGAGTCACCACAGACCTACATATCCTGAAACCTAACTCCAGTGAGTGGAAAGGCAGCCACTTGGAGATTCACTATGTTCTAGGGAAATGATAAAATCGGGAAGCAGAGTTTTACTTCTATGGGAGGTAAGTTTATTGCTCCACTTCTTCACGCTCCTCAGTGAAAGGGTTACACATCCACACCCTATGCCCTCTAACTTTCCTGTGCCCTCCAGTGAGTAGGGTGCACCCATTCAACCCTCTGTGACAGTCTGACGCTGGGCTCAGCCAATGATTTGCTTTAGCCAATGGAATATTAACAGGAAAGGCGCGGTAGAGGCTTTAAAAGCACTAGTATAGTTAAACTCTTTCTTTTCGTTTATGCCGTCTCCATAAAATGAACATACCCAGGTCAGCTGGCTGGTTCCAGGAAGAGGAAGAGAGACAGGTGGAACAAAGCTGAACCACCTTAGCCCAGCCTGGCCTAGATCAGCTGATCCCCAATTAACCCCCAGATGTTTGAGCTATATAAATGCTTACTGCTGAATGCTGCTGAGATTATGTGGTTCTTTCTTAGACAGAATTTTGTGGTAACACCTAACCAATACAGATGCATACATTCATTTAGTAAATATTTATTGAGTTTCTACCAAGTGTTGGACACTCTTGGCGTTAGGGATTCAATGGTGCATAAAAAGACTTAAGGGGTTTACATCCTAGCATGGGAGATGGATAATAAAAAACAAATAAATATGTGTTCTAACATCTGGGAGGAATAAGTGCCATAAAATAAACGGAAGCTGGACAAGGGGATGAGAGGGCTGGGGGTGATGCTATTTTAGATGAAGGGGTCAGGAAAGGCCTCTCTGAGGAGGTAACGTGTGAACAGAGACCGGGATAAATGAAGTGAGGGATCAAGCCATGAAGAAGACTATTCTCAACTAGGAAGAGTTTTCTAAGCAGAGGAAATAGAAGTGCAAAGGTCTGGAGGCAGGAATGAATTTGGAGCATCTGAGGAAGTAGCTGGAAGGCAGTCGGCAAGGGCAGGAGACTGTAGAAGAGGTGGCTGGAGGGATGCAAATCAGGGATGCACAGAAGGCAGGCAGGGGGAGCTAGCCCCACTTGGCCACTGACTGACTGGGGAGCCTTGCAGTCTCCTGCCCTCTCTGGAGGAGTTTCCCCATCTGTGCAACGGCAGGCTTGGTCAGATGGTCTGCAAGTTCCCTAAAGGCTGACACTCCAACAGTGGGTAACTTGTGGAGACACCTTCTTAGGCCTACTTTTTTTTTTTTTCCTTAGGCCTACTTTTCAACATGACTGTGATGCACCTCAGAACAAGACTGAAAGTGACAACTGGTGGAAAATAAACAAAAGTACTTGATGGTTTTCAAATCGTTTCAGCCCAGGCTTGCTGCTGCGGGCCAGGGCCAGGCGGTGAGTAGGGCAAGTAGGAGTAGCTACCCTCAGCAACCTCATGTCTGCTCAAGAGGATGACACGTCAGGAGAAAGGGCTCAGAACACGGGGGAGGAAGCCAGACTAGAAGTACAAATGGTCCAGGGGTGAGTTCTCTGGGTTGTGTTTTCTTCCCAGGGCTCTAAAGCAGTACAAATCCTGGAACCAGACATCAGCAAGGGGTCTAAGAGAAGCCCTGGCTCATCCAGAGGGCAGGAAGCAGGGCTCAGAGAGAACTGGAAACTCTGGGTTTTTTTTCCTATTCTCTCCCAACCCTGTCTCCAGGGAAGCCCCACTCTTGAAGCTGCACCCCATGATAATGGGGGCATCAGTGAACAGGCAAGCAAAGAAATGCTAAATATCTGGATCAATACAGTAGACTATTTCTGTCTCCTTAAGTCCTTTAAAATATGTAGAATGGTTGAAAGCAAATATGATAACATTGTCTGATGGGACTTTCAATACATACAGATGTAACACATATGAAAGCTGTAATATAAGGCGGGGAGGAAAGTGGCCTATATGGTGGTACAGTTTCTTTATCCCACTTGAAGTGGTAAAATATTAATTCTAAGTAGACTGTGAAAAGTTAAGTATGTGTTTTGTAATCACTAGAGCTATCATTAAAAAATTATACAAAGAAATATAGTTAAAAAAAAAACACTAAAGAAATCACTAAATATCCAGCCAAAGGAAAACCAGTCTATCAGCTGTCAGCAGCCTGTGACTTGTGGCCTGGTTTAAAAACACGAACCGGGCCAGTCAGACTTTTCTCTTCAAAATGCCAAGCTAGAAATCAGAAACGGTGCCTTCAGAGTGAGGACTGGATTTCAGGGGTCTTGACGGAAAGTCAGGGCTGGCAGTCAGGTGAGGCCTGAGAAAGCTGGCAGAGACAGCCAAAGACAGGGAATACGGGGTGGGCTGGAGAAGAGGGAGTGGTCCCGGGCCCTGGCAGGTCTTCTGGGGTGGGAAGGCCTCTCCTGCTCTCCCTGAGTCCAGCAGCTTCTCCACAGCCTTGCAAAAGCGCAAGCTGCCCCTTTGCATCTGAACCCTGAGCCAGGCTGTCTGTGTTTCTAGTCCTCACAACACAAAGCCTTCTCTTCAACGTGTTTTCATTTTAGACAGAAACAGCCAAAGAATGGAGGAAGGAGGAACAGGCCACCAAGGGGCTGTAGGATGCCAACTTCCCCTGCTTTTTAACTCAGCACTGCTCCTCTGGCTGTGTCCACCCCTAAAGGCATTGACTCTCAAAGGCAGGGAGGAACATTCTGGCAGATGCTGAGTAAGGCCTGTTGTTCTCTGTGATGGTGACACCGACTTTCTGGTTTATTAGTCAGTCACCTGGGAGTTGCTCAATGGGCATACATGGAGCAGATGACAATCAAGGCCAAAGTCCTCACCAGATCTGCAGGGCCAAGGTCTGGCTCATAACCACAGAGCCAATGTCCAGCCCACACCCACAGGGCTAAGGTCATCCCCAGACCAACAAAGCCAAGGTCCCCACCAGACCCATAAGGTCAAAGTCTCTACCAACAGAGCCAAGATCCAGCCCAGACCTGAAGGGCCAAAGTCCACCCTAGACCCTGCTGGGTCCAAGGAAATCTCCCTGGAACAGCTAACTTCCCTGTCTTGTCCGCCTTTCTGGAGCAGCAACAGCAAATGCTGTAGAGTAAAAGCCTGCTTCTACTGGGGCTTTTTCACGTCCGTGATGCAACATCTGAGCCAGAGCACCCACATAAAATGGACCCTGCTGGCCCACCGAACAGGCAGTGAGCAACACAGAGAACCCTCGTCATGAGACCCCTGGGTCACCAATTGTGCCCGGAATGCCTGCCGTGCTGTCCCTGCTGTTCCCGTGCTCCCATGTCCTGGCATACTGGCCTCCTTGGCCTGCTCTCTTCCCCTCTTCTGTCTCATTTCCAGGACGAGCTTGACCACAGCTGACCGTTGGCCCTCTCTCTTGGGCACCTGCCCTCTGGAACCTGCTATTTGCCCTGATGGGTAGGTCCATGGCATCCAGGCAGCCCACCTGGATTTCAGGGCAGGGACTGTCGCCACAATGGTGGAGCTACCTGTGAACGCAAATCTGTCCTCTTCTATTTTCTTCTTGAGGTGTTGGATTTCAAAGTCCCTTTCCTTCAGCAGCTTATACAATCGCCCGTTCTCATCCACTGTTTCTCTGAGCTGCTCTCGAAGCTGTTCAATCTCATCTTCAAGCACCCTACAAAGCAAAGGCAGAATTACTGCTTTTTCACAGGGACCAATGGGAGGGGTCAGACCTCCACTGCCTGGGTTTATTGACCATGATTGGGCACTAGGTGGTGATAAGAACTGGTGTGTACAACGTAGGAATGAGAAATTCAGGGAACCTCAATGAGCAGATTTTAACTCACTGTTCTCAAAACTGAGTGATTAAGCACATACACACACACACACTCTCTCTCTCTCTCTCTCAAGTGAAAGGAGAAAGAAGGTTTGAACAACATGGCTTACTATGGATTCAACAGAGAGATGTATCAAACCCCTCACTCTGAGAATTCACATGCCTTTCCAGCATCTGTGGAACATATATAAAAATGTATTATATTATAAGCTACAAAGGCAATCTTAGGAAATTCCACATAATGGACATTATACAGACCATTTTCTTTAATGACAATTGACTAAAATTAGAAATCAAGACTAAAAAGATAGCAAAATAAAATAAAAAACAAAACCCAAAACCCATCATCTGCTTGGAACTAAAAAAACCCACATTCATAAATTATTTATGGATTAAGAAGAAATCATAATATGTATAACGAGGCATTTAGAACAGATTGATTGCAGAAGCAACATATAGCAAAACTTGTGAAATGCACCTAAATTGATACATAGAAGGAAATTTATAGTCTTAATTGCATATGGATATTAGAAGAGCAAAGAGGAATGGTCTAAGCCTTTAGGTGAGGCTGGATCTCTAGGTTCCAGGTAAACCTGACAGAAAATCAGAACAGGTGGTCGTTTTGCATGTTACAAGTGGCCTTGCAAGGCTCTTTTCAGAATTTTAAAACATGAGAAACACGTGACTGATGCGTCTGTGGTCCCTTCTACTGTTATCATGGAACAGGCTCCCTAGAGACAGGTGCTTGGGAAGCAAATAACTTACAGAAGTTCTAGGTAACAGCAATTATTAGGTAACAGCTGTTATTATTGTTGTTGTTGTTCTACCAACGTCTCAAGTCTCCACCAATTCAAATTTCTCTGATGTGGGGAAAGATCATTTGGAAATAGTTCTGGGGTTAACTTACAGCTAATATTTAGGAGTCATAGGAATTTTTTTTCAATTATTGAGAAATCTATTTTTTTTCCCAATAGCATTTTCAGTAGAACATTTTGAAAATTGAGAAACCATAAAAAGTAGAATCTAAAGATGGAGAAAACAGATTTTGGGCAAAACCAGAAGCAGAGAGAGAGCTCAACAACTGTTGTGATTTTTTAGTAAAATGACCAGCGGAGAATTTTGTATCAATACAGACTCCTGCTTCCAATAACCAGTATAAATCAATACGCATCTGTGCACCATTGTCAAATTCAAGCAAAATGAGAAGATTCTGGACTCCTTTCGATCTTTTTGTAGGAGGTTGTAAAGAGCAAGGAACGCACCAAGAGCTTCTTTAGGATAGGTATATTTATGTGTCATCATGTGTCAGGTAAGGGGGACGCACAGGAGAATGATCCTGGATGAGATTTGGAGCAATGAGCGCCTGTGAATGCACAGAGTCAGTCACCCAGTGCCTCGGAAACCCAAAAACGGTCTTCATGAAAGAGAGACTGCATAGGCAAGTTGAAGTGAATAAACTATACACCCCGATGAGTTTCAAAATGTCAGCTTGACTTTAAACGGTTTTTAAACATATTTCGTAACACATTACGTCCGCAGGAGCGCAGGTCTTCCAGCAGATGCAAGTCTTCAATAACAACCTCTCTTCTCAACTTAGAAACACACATCTAGTCACCCTGATTGTCTAGCTGTCTGTGGTCATTTCTCCCCCACCCTCCCTTCCTCCCTGCAGTGCTCCAGGGAGAGTTCAAACTGGTATTTACCTCAGCTCGAAGCTGTTTTTCGAGTTTTGCTCCCTGGCTTGGAGGAGGCTGAGGCCATCGGAGATCTCCAAGGACTCTTTTTGGTCATCAGCTTTGCTTTTGAGGCTCAGTTCCTTTTCCTTCCGTTTCTCCATCTGCTTCTGTAACCTTCTGTGCTGCATCTCCTGCATGGCCTTGAACTGGAGCCGCAAGGTGTCCTGCGAGCCTTCATCCGCTGCCATCTTGCCCTAGGAGTAGGAAAAGCAGCCTGAGCTGAAGCAAATTCCACGAAGCACACATTTCCCAAGGGTGCGCAGCACACAGTCAGCCCCCTCTAAAGTCCCCGACTCTGGCATTTCCTGCTTAGCTTTGCCTGTGTGTCCATGTGGAAGCTCGGAAGCCCCACCCTCACCGCAAATCCCCTGAAAGCCAAAGCTGAGGTGAGCATCCTCCCCAAGCCCTGAACGTGCCACCAGATTGCAAATGGCATCAGAATAATCCCTATCACTCAGATGCCACACTTGACTCCTTCCTGTCCCTAAGACAGTGGCTCTCAACTCTGGCTGGACATCAGCATCTCCTAGGAGCTCCTACAATCCTAACAAAGCTTGGGCATATCCCTGGACCAATAAAATCCCAATGTTTAGAATGGGGCCCAGACATCATTACCTTTATAAATTGAGGTATAATTTAAAGTTGAGGTATAATTTACATACAGTAAAGTGCATAAATCCTGAGGGTACAGCTCATTAAATCTTTACATAGGTACACACTCCTGTGGTGACCACTCAGATTAAGGTATAGGGCACTTCCTATCCCTAAGCAGGCTATCTTGTGTCCCTTCCCGTCAATCATCCCCCAAGTTAACCACTATTCTGACCCCTGCCATGGAAGATGAGTTTTTATTCAGCTCTATTGAAGTATAATTTACATATAATAAAATACACCAATTTTATGTGTGCAAATAAGTTTTGACAAATACACACACCTATGTAAACCACCACCACCACCGTGATAAAACATTTCCATCACATCAAAAAAAGTTTCTTTGTGAGGTCTCCCTGCCAGTCCCAATCCCAGGCAAACTTGGATACACTTTTGTTCACCACAGTTTTTCCTTTTCTAGAATTTCATATAACAGAATCATATAGTCTTTCGTGCCTAGCTTTTCTTGCTTAGCACTACCTTTCAGAAATTCACCCCTGCTGTTGCACGTGTCATTAGTTCATCTCTCTTTATTGCTGGGTAGTATTCCGTTGTACAGATACACCACAGTTTGTTCACACATTCACCTGTTGTTGGACACCTGAGCCATTTCCATTTCCGGCTATTATGAATAAAGCTGTTATGAACATTCACATACAAGAAAGCCTTTGTGTGAACGTATGTTTTTATTAGTCTTGGGTAAATACCTAGAAGTGGACATGCTGGGTTATATGGTAAATTTATGCTAAACTTTATAAGAAATTGAATTTTTCCTTAGAGTGACTATACCATTTTACTTTCCCACCAGCAGTGTATGAGAGTTCCAGTTGCTCCACATCCTTGCCAACACCTAGTCTAGTCAGTCTAAATTTTAGTGTTTCTAGTGGGTATGTAGTGGTATCTCAATGTGGTTTTAATTTGCATTTCCCTAATGACAAACTCTATTGAGTATATTTTCATGTGCTTACTGGCCATTTGTGTATTCTTTTGTGATGTGTCTATTCACATCTTTTGCCTATTTTTTATTTGTGCTGTCTTCTTGAGTAGTGAGACTTACTTATACATTCTGGATGTTTTGTCTATTTTTGAACTTGACATAAACAGAATAATAGAGCACAAACATTGGAATTTGTGTGTGTGTGCTTTTTCTCCCCAAATCTTCCCAGTACATAGTTGTATATTCTAGTTGTGGCATGTGAAATGCTGCCTCAGCATGGCCTGACAAGCAGTGTCATGTCTGTGCCCAGGATCCGAACCGGTGAAACCCGGGGCCACCTAAGTGGAGCGTGCGAACTTAACCACTCGGCCAAGGGGCTGGCTCCCCAACATTGGAATTTTTAAATGCCCCCCCACCTGATTTTAAAGCGTAGCTAGTGTTAGGAAAACTCAAGTCACATCATCCACCCGTGATCCAATTAGTCATAAATCTTGTTGATTCTCCATAAATGTCTTCAAATCTGTCCCCATATTTCATCCCCACTGATACCTCTCTCATTATCACACTCATGGCCACCTCAAGGCACTTGCACATGCTGTTCTGTCTCCCTGGAATGCTCTTCCCCCAACCACTATGCTCTCTTCTCTCAAATGTCATCTTATCAGAGAGGCCTTCCTCACCAGCCTATTGTAGAAAGCATCCCTACCCTCACTCCCCATGCCCCTTACCTGTTTCAGATTTCTCCTGACACATTCCATATCTGTTTATCTGTTGATAGCCTCTCCCCCTCCCTGCCAGCCCCACAATGACAGGCACTCTGTGATGTTCACTGCTGTATTCTCAGTGCTTGTATCAGAGCCAGGTGTATAGCAGGCATGAAATGAGTATTTGGTGAACGAATGACCGATGGTTCTGTCCCCAGGACTGCTCAAACTGGCCCCTACTGCCCTCGCTGCCCCTCTCCCTCTTCCCACCCCACTTACAGTCTGGCCTGCATTCACTTTCTCCAAAGCACAGCTCTGAGCCTGACATGTCCCTGGGCTAAAGAGCTTCCGTAGGTGCCCACTAGTCACAAAACCAAGTCCAAAGGCATTAAAGGCTTTGGGGGATTTGACCTCATGTTGTCCCCTTCACAATGCTGGGTTCTAGTGTCGCCTTGGTCCTCTGTCCCCCCTGCCCACAGGCTTAGATCTTGCTGGTTCCCTCAGGCCTAGCATGAACACCATGTCCTTTCCTGATCCTCCAGGAAGAACATGCTCCCTGCCCCAACACCCTCAACTGCTCCATCTACATCTTCACATTGTACTTATCTCCACCCTTTCCACAGGGGTGGTCCTAATGTGCCCAATGTGCCTTTTCCTTTTGCTGATTTTAGTCTGTACCCTTTCACTGTAATAAACTGTAACTGTGAGCATAACAGCTTTTCTGAGTTCTGTGAGTGCTTCTATCAAACCATTGAAAATTAAGGGTGGTCTTGGGGACCCTTGGCCTATAGGAATCCCAGGACTCCTCTGCTAAATGGGCAACAGTCATAGCCAAGTACCACGGGGTGTCTCAAAAGATGGGATACCCAGGGATATAATGTAAGTTAACAATCGGACTCCATTTTTTAAATTTAGGCAAATCAGACTCTTCCTGTAAAGGGCCAGATAGTAAGTATTTTAGGTTTTGTGGGCCATATGGTTTCTGTTGCAACTACTGTGCTCTGCCACTGTAGCAGAAAGTAGCTGTAGATAATATGTAAATGAGTGGGTGTGGCTGTTCCAATAAAACTTTATAACAAAAACAGGCAATGAGCTGAATTTGGACTGTGGGCTCTTAGTTTGCCCAGCTGATTTAGAGGAATTTCACCTGAAAAGGTGTCTAGAGATTAAAGAAATAGGCTATTGAGCCTATTACTTGAAAATGTAACTAAATACAGTTTATTAACTAATACAGTTAACCAATACAGTATAAAAATGAGTTTATCCTGTGATTTCCTATTTTTGTAGATTAAAAGAAGGTACAACCAAATACTTCATTTTCCAAATTGGGTCACCTTGGAGAGAAAAGGAAGAGCTATTAATACTCTTTCCGGGTCGACAGTGTAAAGCAGTGGTTCCTGCTCCTGCTGCACAACTGGAAACACTGGGGAGCTTTAAAGATACTGATGCCCGGGTCCCACGCCCAGGGATTCTGATGTCATTAGTCAGGGTGCACCCTGGGTGTTGGATGCTGCTGGTCTGGGCTGCCATACGAGTAGCCTGGCCTGAGCTGAGACAGCACCTGGGGTTCAGGGTGAACTTGGCTCTGTTCCAGCTGTGTGAGTCTAAAAAGTTTCCAGACCTCTCTGGGCCTCAGTCCCCCCTTCAGTAAGCAGATGATGATATGGAGGCCACAGATGTGCTGTGTGGGGCAAATGCAAAGGAGGCTGTGAAAACGCTCAGTCAGTTATGCATTGGTAGGAACAAAATGTTATTATTTTCTCTTCTCCTGGCATTCTCTCCTGAGAACTCCCTTCCTCCTCCTCTTACCCTGCATCCAGATGCTTCCTGTCCCTCACAGCGATGCTTGTGACCTGCCAGCACAAAGCCTTCCCAGGCTGCTGGGCCCACAGTGATCAAGCCCCCAGCACCAGCCCTCACAGCCACTGCCTCACATCACAAGGCCACCTCCTCTGCACCTCAGCTCCTGCCTGCTCACCATCTTATTCCCCCAGTGCCTCCCATCTCTCTGGCTACCTGCTGCCACTCTAGCTCCCTGAATCTTGTTTTTCTCCCTCTAATTCATACTGTATACCATCATCTGGGACCAATCTAAAACCAGATCTAAGTGGCTCCTGCCTCTGCAAGACCCTGCCAGGACTCACAGAGGGCACTCTGACTGGCCCAAGGGCTGCGTCCACCCCACAGACATTTTTGATTCTCACACAATGCTACGTTAGGATTTGAATTTGTTCCCAACATTCAAAGATCTGTAGATTTCAATTAAATCCAGACTTCCAGCTTCTTTTATAAAAGTTTACCGATCTCGCAATGCTGGGGCCATCGTCCCACATGGACAGCAGCCACTGGGCAGAGGGAGTTCCCTCTGGGCAGGGTATGTTCTTTCCACACAGCCACCGTCCCTACCACTCTCAGATGCTGCAGCTGGCACATCAGCTGCCTGTCATCATTGCATGTAAATGTTGTTTCTCTTACACCTGCTGGATTCACCCACTTTCATTTCCATCGGCCACAAATGCTTGGGTTCGTGACCCCTGCTAAGGCTCAAGCCTGGAGGCGTTTCAAAGGCTTGCTTCAGCCACTCTACCTGCCCAGGATGACTTCGAGCCTAGGCTCCGTCCCATCGCCCTTCTCCTTCCCAGGAACTCCCATTTAGCCTTCAGGATTCACCTCAGGTCACTTGTGGACTCCTAGAATCCCCCAGGTGTCCCTTGATCACTAAACTTCCCTCAATGCATTATAATTATCTATACTTCTAATCCTTCCTTTTACTAAGAGGCCTCTTAAGGGCAGGGGTCTAATATCTTATTCATTTTTTAATTCTCAGTATCTTGCCCTGAAGAGGATTTCAACTAATATTTGTAGAATTGTCATTGAATGAATGTAGCAGGCGCTCAAGGAT